TTATCTAAAATGCCCCCGGGAAGGCCTGGGTTTTTTTTTTGTGGAGGAAGTTTTTTTTTTTTTTTTTTTTTTTTTAGGTTCCAACAGGTTTTCTTCCAGGGGTTTTGTACATTTAGCCTGATGCTGCCAATATGTGTCATCATGAAGATGGCGTGTTTAGTGTTTAAAACTGTTCCCTCATTTGCATCAGTTGCATGAAATCCCAATAAAACCAGCTGAAGTTCGTGCTTTGATGGGGCAAAATTGTGAAAGTAAGAACACGTTTGCAAAGCCCAACAAATGCTGGATCAACAACAGACAAAACAACAGCAAACCAGGGTTCATTTCGCACCAGAGGAAGTTCACGGACCACTTCCAACCACCTCGTGTTTTTTTGTTTTGTTTTGTTTTTCTCTCCCAGGTAAACCATCTCGGGCTGTATGGAGGATTCATCGAAAACTACGAGAAAGCGGTGGAAGTGGTCAGGAAGTGCACACAAGCGAATCCTCTCTTTCGGACTCTTGCTGAGGTACAGAAGGTCCTGAGGTGAACTTTTAAGTGTGTGTTTGTGTGTGTGTGTCGCTTTACCTGTTGCCTCTTCCAGACCTTGTACATTAACGGTGCCAACAAAGCTCGGACGGCATGCACTCTAGAAGGTAAGAGGAGTAGATCTTTATTCTTACTGGACACATCCAAGCCTGGCTGTGTCTAGTTGATGTTTTCTCTCTCTCTCTTTGCAGCTCTGCTCTACAAGCCTTTGGATCGAGTAACTAAGACCACACTAGTGCTGCGGGTGAGAAAACCTCGGAGTGGTACATGAGCCCTCCGTCAGTGTTTCTACACGTTTCATTTGCTTTGTGTTGGTCTTAGAATCTAAATTATACGGCAAATTCTGGGAAAAAGAAGGAAGGAAGAAAATGGGAAAAGATGGAAGACACAAGTTAGGAAGGACATAAAAAAAGGAAAGATAAATTGGGAACCAATGTAGGACACAATAGAGGAAGAAAGGAAGGAATTAGAGGACAGAAATAAAAAAATACATTTTGCAAATAGTTAGAGAATGATCAAACTGCGAACCTAACCAGACGTAGGGACCCCCCGGTTTCGATGTGAAACAAAAACTCTGCTCAGCTCGGCTTTGATTCTGACTGAAGAACGTCTGTCTGCGGTTTGGCAGGATCTCCTGAAGACGACGCCGGTGGAGCACAAAGATTACGCAGCCTTACAAGAAGCTCTCAGACTGTCTCAAAGCTTCCTGTCTGGTGTCAACGAGAGTTCACAGAGCAAACGGGAGGTGACGCTCACTCACGGCATGGTGAGTCCCGCAGGATCTTAGCTCCCGCAGAGCTGAGCTCGGAGCGGATCGGACACGGTCGCCGCAGACAGGCGAGACTTGTCAGAGCGAAAACCCTCCTCAGAGTTGAGCCCGTTCTCTTTTCCCCGCCAGAGGCGACAGCTGATGCGCGACGGCTTCGTGGTGGATGCGAGCGAAGGCGTCCGCAGCCTGCGCCACTTCTTCCTGTACACCGACCTCCTGCTGTGCACCAGATTCAAACACGCAGGCAGAGGGTGAGCGCCGCACCTGAACGCGTAGCCGCTTTGTGGGAAACGCGGTCGACGCGCGCCGCCCGGGTCTCTTCATCCCAAATTTTAAGCGGCTGCGGTCGCCACAGCGACGTGACGACTGTGAAGCCCCTGAAATCCAGTGCTTGTGTTGGTTCCAGGAAGCAGGACCAGTACAGGTTCAGCTGGTACCTGCCGCTGGCCGGGCTCAGGACCCGCTGGGTGGCAGATCACGAGCAGCCTCCCGATACCACCGTTCGCCTGCTCACGTTGAGGACCAAGATGTTCCTCCTGCGGCAGCAGCTGCAGCAAAATCCGGTGCGTGTCGTGAAAACCCTTTTTTATTATTACTTTTATTTTTAAAAAGGTCTGTTTTCACCAAAGCGAGTAGTTCAACATCAACATTTCTCTGTATGAAGAAGGGCGCCAGAGGCTTGACTTGGACGGCTCGCAACAGGAAGAAACTGGAACAAATGGAGCTGCTGCTTCTCACACACTCCCCAGTTTACAGACTGGACCTGCACAGCCCCAGTGACAAGGTACAAAACACACACACAAACTCACACACACACACATTTGGTTATGTTTTTGCTACATTTACAGTCCTAAATCATAACGAACAAGATCTATGAAAGGATCTGTGTTTCTGTCACCACAGAGTCACACTTTGTTCTTCTCCTCTCTGTATGAACTGGAAGAGTGGAGAGATGCCATCCATAAACTCACCACAGGAAGTGAGTTCACATCCAGCTTACATTCAACACGATTACAGTCGCTGACATTTGAGTGGATACAGGAAAAATCTAGAGAATCCCGAGCCTGTATGATCGTCCTCTGTAAGCTGTTGGCACGTTTTCCACGTTTCAACCGCGAACTTCAGTGTCGCTATTTAGTGTTTAAAGTTGTGCACACCTGTGATGAGGAAGGAAAATTGTGAGAAATTGTCAAAATAGACAGGAAAAAAAAAACCCAGAAGAAATCTTGCAAAAGACTTGAGACTGGAGAGGATGCTCGGCTTCCTGCGACGTTTAGATCAGAGCAGATTCATGTTTCATGGCTGAAAAACGCATCACGATATAAGAGTTTGATATTAGTCAAAATAGATAATTATTAATTAGTTTTTTTGTCGTTGTTGTTTTAAATATCTGAAATGCTGCCAAACTGGTGACTTTACATTTTGTGTTTTATTCACAATTTCCTCTCAAGTCGTTGTCTCCTTTCAATTCACGTCGTTGTTTTTCGTTTTTAATAAAACATGAGGCGCAGAGGTAAAATGTGAAACTTGCTCAACAGATGGTTGCTAGGTAACCAGAGGGAGAGTGAGTTGTTGCTAGGTAACCAAAGAGAGAGTGAGTTAGTTGGTGCCACCAGCCTTGCTTAGCTGGTTAGTGAGCGTAAAGCCCTTCCTCTGCCTACATCCCCCAGAATGCTGTGCGGTTCTGGATCAGAGTTCAGTGAAGTTATTGAACATTCCATTTAATCAGACGTATTTTGTTGATATTGATCATGTGTCATATCATATATATATATATATATGTGTGTGTATATGACACATATATATGTATATTCAGAGATGCTCTTAAGGTAGAAAAATGATCACTCAGTGCCAATTTAAAGAGGACAGTAACGTGTAAATGAAACATAATTTAGATAAATAAAACCATCTGGGTCAGGCTGGACGGATCGCTGACCTGCTGTCCTTCCTCTGACCACACAGAGAGAAGACGGCTCCCTCAGTGCATACTGTTCTGATCAGAGCCCAGATTATGAATATTGATAAAGAAGTACTTCAGTGAAGTTTCTATTTATCACACCCTCCACTTACGTAGCTTTGTCAAACTATAGGTCATGCTACGTATCAGTGAGGTATCTAGGGCAGGAAGTAACTATGGAGCTAAAGCACTGCGTTTATCTCGATTTACGTCAAAGGACACTTGCTTGATGATAAAAGTTCAGAGTGAAATCGACCGACTCCCATGTCCTTAACCAGAACAGAAACGTAAAGTTTCTACATCTTTAACTCAGCCTGAGCTTTATTTTTTGGGTGAAATGGGAGAAAATTTATGTCACTTCTTCAAAACCAAAGACATACTCCATGAAGGGTGGTTAATTATAAAAGCATGTCCCACTTTTAAAATTTTACTTGTAAAAAAAAAAGAAAACTATGTTTCCCTTTCCAAATGAAGTCTATTGAAGTTTGTGGTTTTTGACAGAACACAATGTGAAAACGTTTGGGAGCTTTAAAGGCTGTCGTAAGGCACCACATGCAAACATTCTCTTGTCGTGCAGCGTCAGATTTTAAGGCAGATTGTGTTTTAAAGTGTAACCAATATAATTAAAAGGTAATAAAAAACCTTCCACATTGCTATTCAGCAGTGCAGAGTTTTGGTTTCCTAGGATTACGTTTCAACAATTAGGTTCTGTGTTTCCAAGCTTTTCTGTGCCATGCTGTGGCTTCGGCCGCTTTCCTATAAAAACCATAATTTGTTTATTCATTAGAAATGAGGTTATGTGGAGCGACCACGGAGAGTCAGTACCTTATTTGTCGTTGTGTGCAGTCAGTGTGATCTCAGGGAATCGGGGTTAAAGTCTCACAACCATATTAGGTGTTACAGCAACCTGTCAGACGTAATGCTTTCAAATGTTCTTATCTTGTGCCAGTGATAAACTTAATTTAACACCTGTTAAAATAAAAAGCCTAAAATACACGCGAGAAACCAAATTATCCAACTGTGTTTGTGTCAAAAACATACACACAGTAAGAAATAAATTATGCTTTTTCTTTTTACTTTACCTTAATTACATTTCTACTACAAGTAGCTTCTTTGGGAATTCTTATTTTGTTCCCACTTCAACTGAAAGTGTCATTTTAAGGCACAGATAATGAAGTCCCAGTTAAATCACAGAGGAAAAGCTTAAAATGAGCAGATTATGAAACTTTCTTTTCTTTTTCTGATACATCTCTAGAGTTTAACCGTCTTTCTATTATAGTCAGTTCTGTGAGCTGACTGGACCTTTTGTGTCGTTTGTCAGACATCGAAACCATCCCTCCAGACCTGCTCACGCTCACCAGCGCCTGCGTGAAACTGAGAATGACGCAGCAGCCACATCTACACAGCTCTGTCGCCGGTACAAACACCTTCTCTCGCCACAAGCCTATTTTTCCCTCCGCCACAGAATCACATCCTGTGTCTAAACCCAGATATCCTCACTGCTGTCACCTCCTCGTCCTGCACGGCGACGTTTCAGAAGCCTGTCTTGGACGGGTGTTGCGTTCAATGACTGGTTCAATCCGTTGTCTCTGTATCTCGCCAGCAGAAGATGGGAAGTTGCTGTGTGGGACTGTCAGTGTGGCGATCCATTCAGCTTCTGGCCTGCAGGAACCAGCTTGTATGTATCTTGGCATTTAAATGGCTGTATGAGGAATGAATGTATTCAGGTTTGCACCTCTCACCGGTCGATCTGCTCTCTTTCTGAGGTCAAATCATTTACACAAGAACCAATTTCAAAAACGGGCACCGCTCACACAAATGTCAATTTAGTGTGGATTTTATTAGTAGTAATGTATGCAAATTGGCTCAAGTATATGCCAACACCCCCACTTGTGTTTGATATGTTCACTTCACGGACATATAAGCAAAGAGACCATGTTGTTTCCATTAAGATCACTCTAGCGTGGTTAAAGCTGCATATTTTATTACTCTTCTCTTTCAAATTGGTAAAACTCAACCAAATCTGATTTCGCTGGTTTCAAACTTTTAAGCTGAACTTTTAAGCACAGTGCAAAGAAATTTGGTGGTTTGAGGCTCTGAAAGCCTAATGATTAGTCTGTTTGGGATCAGCTGTGCTGTGCGAACAATTAGTTTTCTCATTCTGACCCTGTATTACACAATAAATTCACCGAAGTTATTTAATGTGCAACTATTTCCCTCTGAACGCGAATTGCCTGATCAAATAATCATAGACCTGAAGTCCATATAACATGGCAATAGTGGGTGTATGTTTGGGCGGTGTCCAAACATTTTGCCTAATTGGTCAAAAGTACCTAAAGAAAAAAAGAGAAATTCAGTTTTCTTTTTTATCTGCTCACCAATTAACAAAGCATGTAATATTGTAAGAAATGTTCTCTAATTTCTCGCGATAAATAATCTGTGAATCGTTGCAGATCAGAAAAATAAAAAGGGTATCATTTTTGTTTTTTTAAAAGACGTCTAATTTTCAAAGTGTTTTTGAATGAACTGTCCTCTGTTATTTATTTTTTTGTCAATATTCATGATTGGGGGCCATCAAGTCTGTTTTAGTCTGAAAGTTGATTGACATTTAAACTTCAACGTTTTATATAATTAAAATGAAAGCAAAAACACGTCCACTAAAAGACAAAGTCGTTGTGGCATTTTTTTCCATTATACGATTAAAATTGTAGGTTTCCATCTGCCTCAATTGCTTGTTCTGTCGGGCCGTGTTTGTACCATTCCAAGTGCTGCAAATGGCCCCCCAGCTTCACTTTGAACACCCAGGATGTATAGAGAGATTTTAGGATAAATTTATAACCGAGTCAGTAGTTCGGACTGTGAGCGATGAAGACGGCTCTGCTTCTGTTCCAGGTGTTTATGTGTGCGTGGAGGTGGATGGCTATGAGTTTTACGATAAACGAGCCCAGACGCATTCGTCCGTCCGCAGCCTCAACCCTCTCTGGGACCAGGTGTGTATGCAGGCCTGGACCTGAGAACCAGCAGAGCTTTAAACTTTACGAGTACAGTAAATCCAGCAGATGGTCAGAGCTGAAGACTGACATAGTGAGGAAGCGAGTCGCTAATTGGTGCCAGCGCTAACAGCCTCTGTTTGGTCTCGAGCAGGAGCTGTCCTTCCAGGTGGACGGTGCACAGAAGATGATGGTGCTCTGCGTGAGCCAGTCAGATGGGGAGGAGGCGGTTCTGGGAAAAACTACTGTGCAGGTACAAAAGAACAAACCCACAGAATCGCTCCAGGGCATCAGGGTTTGAGGTGCAAAACTGTGAAGTGGAACTATGCATAGTCTTCAGAATGTTTAATAGCAGATTTAAAAATTGTGACATGCAGTAGCGCCTGCAGCTGTACGCACTGTAAGAAAAAAAAAAGTAGTTATTGGTATTTTATTATCTATCTCACTTTACTATAAAGGAAATAAGGTCCTTTGTGTCAAAACATCTTGTATGAAGTGCACATCTGTGTGAGTCAAAGCCTAAAAGTTATTGGTTTACTTCTGTTTATTTGGCGGCTTAGCGCTTTTTCCTGTAAGCTAAATGAGAACATGCAGTGAAGCGAGCTAAGAACGAGTAAGTGGAGTTTGAACCCTTCAGCAGTTCTGAGAGGGGTCGAGTGAACCCCGCCTGAGCTTTTTACTGTGCACATGGTTCTGGCGGGGTTCGCCGGTTTAATAGCTTTTTTTTCTTTTCTTTTTTTTTCTCGTGAACTGAGGAGCTGACGGGTTACCTGGTTGGCCGACCGTGACATCTGCTGAACTTTGTGTTGAAACTGCAGGAGGGTTAAACAGTTAAATCTAGTCTAAACATTGCCAATAGAGTAGAAATTAAGGCTTTGCTTTCTTGTCTTTATTATTTAGTATAATTTATAAAAGAAATTAGATCTGCTATTTTTGTTGGCTATGCTCATGTGGCTTATGTTTGTGTGGTTTAAGTTTTTGCTGGGTTTGTGGGACACATACACATGAGCGCTAGAGATGTGGTTGTGCTCATGTGGGTCAAGAGCAGTGATAACATTGTGCGTATCCTCTGTTAATTTTCTGCAGGCGCCCCGGGTGACATGCATTTATCCTTAGTCAAATTTTTTCCCTGAAAACTCGCAATAAAGTCCAGTGCATTCAACAAGATCAATTAGTAAATAGAGTTCAAATGTGTGCAGTTCATGTGGCCAAGGAGGAAGTTCTGGAGAAGTTTGATGTAGTCTCTCCTGGCAGATGCAGCTTGATGTGGGGGGACATGCAGGATAGTTGTCCGTCCCCCTGGTCCTCTTGGCCAACTGTCTTCCATAGATCAGACGCGTCTCTGCTCCAGCTCGTGCAATAAATTGATCGTTAGCAGGTTTCTGCAGAACTTTATGGCATCCTAAGGTAAAGCAGTAAACGTGTGAAAGGTGCTCTGGTTTGACAAAAGCAACTTTAAACTTTTAAACCTACATGCAGAAAGCTTTGTGGGTGGTGCACCTCACCCAGAATGCACCAACCTCATGGTGGCGGGTCACACCTTTCAGATTTCTATCTGTGAAAAAAAAAAAGATGCCTCCACTTCATGGCTTTGAACTAGTTTGTTGATCGAATATGAAATAGTTTGTGGTTCTAATATGACGACACGTGGAAACGATGGATAGTTTTGCAAGGCTTTGTAACTTTTCAAATAAGTAGTTTCAATCCCAAAAAATGTCTTTTAACATAAAAAACCTGCACTTTATTGGCTCTTTTAACAACTAAGGCTTAAATAATTGAATACTCAACAAGATTGTTTAATTTAGGATTGAATTCGTCTTGTAGGCTTGGAAGAGCTCCTTGTAATTTAACCTTCTAATTCCTAAGAACTTATCCTGAAGTTTAAACCTTGCTATGTAATGAAATATATCAATGAAATCATTTTTTTATTTTTATTTCACTCAATAACACCTTAATGTTGCAGAACAAGCAGTCTGTTACGTGGTGAAAGCAGAAAGCTCGGTTCAATAAGAACCAAACGGCGCTAGCAGCTAGAAGTGTTTACAACTTGTGACATGAAGAGGTGTCAGAAAGTGAGGAAGCCTCACCTCTTCATGAAGCCATTCCTCTTTTTTCTTGCTTTCATACATGCAAATGAGTCATTTGCACAACTACAGGTAGCTTATAATACACATAAGAGAAGCTGTTAAACTTTTATTCTGCTAAAGGAAACACCTAACCTTGACTTTCAAAAGCAGCGTTTGTGTGTTTTTACTGTTTGCATATTCTGTTATACAGTGTGAATGTGATGCATACTATTATCAGGCATGTTTGCACCCACAGTAAATGTTAAATGGCTGCAAATGATTTATTCTTTTTAGTTTTTTAAGTTTTATGCCACATTGATAGAGTTATATTTCAAAGGAGTTGCCGCTGATATAAAAAAAAAATCACCATGATGTCGGCAGTAACCAAAATAATTCACACATTCAAAAAAAAAACATCTAAGCAAAGTTGACCATAAATGAATTTACATGTAAAATGACAGTGAATTGGCATTTAACGTACTTACAGAAATGTACTGTGTACCTGATAAACGATTTTATGTTCACTTAAAATCACCTCCAGTATAGAGAAATTATTTATAAAGCTGCTTAGATGTGATTTTGACCCATTCTTCCATAAATTTCCCATAAATCCCGTAGGATAGGGGCGTCCTTTCTCTGCACTTTGAGTAGATTTGACCCTTCGTTAATTCTTCCTTCAGTCATCTCATGACCATGATGCTTTGCTTTTATCTGACCAGACTATCTTCTCCCAGTACTCCACTGGTTTGTCCAAATCTTTTGCAGCCAACTTTATCAAACTTTTCCTTCAGGAGTGGAGTCTTGTGCAGTGAGTGCGGATAGAGGCTGTTACAGCTGAGAGACAATTTGTTATGGTCAGGTCTTTCTGAAGTTTTCTGTGAAACTCTTGGACAAATCTTGATTATTTTATTTTATATTGACTCCTCCTCTGTCTGAAATCTAACAAGGAACTAGAGTTCTTAAACACTGAACATCCTCCTCATAAACGTAGATCTTTCTCCAGCCTTGTTGGTCACACTTGTAGTTATTTTAAGCCATTTAGTAGTTGCTTAAACTTTATATATGGACAATTTTAGCCAAATTGCAGGTTTTTTTTCCCGTTGTAGCCTTTTCTTGATATTCATTCGCCCAACTTGAATAGCATGTTTTCTCATGTTTCTCATTTTGAAACATGGGCAAAAGAAATGGACAGGTGCCACGTCACATTTACATCATAGCGAAATAGAAAGCGAAGGGTTACTCATTTAATTAACAGGCTGTTTAACTTTATAAAAAGTAAATGCAAAAAATATTTCAGCTCCATTTTATGAGGAGCTTTACTGATTGTGCAAAACAAAACAAAAAGTAAAGAATATTTGTTTTAACGTAGGATTCATTTTCCTCACTAAATAAATGCATTCAAATTAAAAGTTGGATGCTTTTTATTTGCATGAGAGTACGCCTCAGCTAAAAGTTTGAAGAGGTGTAGAAAACAATATATATATTGTTTCAGTGTGCCAGAGCAGGTTCTTTAGAATAAGACAATTCTTAAGTTAAATCTTATTTTTTTTGTATCTCTTCTTTCCAAGTTGGACTCTACAAGCCTGAGTTGTCGGTGGAGGAGGCAGACCCTCCAGGTGGGCCAGCTGGAGGTGACTCTCTCCCTGAAGTACTGTCCGCACCCACTGGAAGCACCAGGCACGCCGATTCAACAGCCACCCGTCTTCTGTGTCCCCATCGAAAAGGTGGCCCAGTAAGTGCCTGTCTCTGATGTCTCGGCGGTGACAGAAGAGCTCCCTGAAAGCCGAAAGCGGCAGTTCCTCGCACGGTTCCGTTTCCATTGTGCGCTCGTTGGTGTGACAGAACAGAAGTGGTTGGTCTCTGTGGTGAAGTGGGCGAAGCAGAAGTGTGGCCCGAGCAAGAACAGATGAGCAAAGAACTGAAACAACTCCTGAGTCAGCTTGGACTTGCTTATAGACGCTATAATCCCCCCCCCTCCCCTCTAACTTTTATATTTCTGTCCTCAGACAGGAAGGAGTGCTGGTTCCTCATGTGGTGAGATGCTGCGTGGAGGAGGTGGAGCGGAGAGGCATGGACGAGGTGGGAATCTACAGGATTTCAGGCACCGCCACCGACATCTGCTCGCTCAAGGCCGTGTTCAACACCAGTAAGAAAACGCAGCAGGCGAAAACGCAACACGCTTCACGCGGGTAGACTTCAAATTGACCCAAGCACAAGTTTCACGTCATCACTGCGAGAACATCGGGGTCATAAACTTGCTTGCAAACACTCACCGTGTTCGTTACGTGCGTGTTCGTGCTCCGAGAATGAAGGAAGTGCACACTCAAAGTCAATAGGGTAATGGTGACGATAATAATCATTACCGTTGTCTATCTGCTCAGATCTAAGGGAAGCAGTGACCAGACTGAGAAGTGCTGAAGTGAACACGGTGTCTGGCGTCCTCAAACTTTACTTCAGAGAGCTGCCGGAGCCTCTCGTGCCCTCGGATCTGTTCCAGAGTCTGGCAAAAACTCTGGGTAAGACCAACACATCCTAAACACACCAAGTTTCAGAAACGGACCTGGAGGATTTTAAAGTTATGAATTTGCAGTTTGTTTTTAAAAAAAATATAGTCAACTCCCAGTTCCTTTTGTTTTTATACATCACCCCTGGAGAGGATGTGCAGAAAAGCCTTAAAATAAATGGCTTTTATTGAGAATGAGGTACCTATGCTGTTTCAAGCTAATCTGTGAGTTGCAGACTAGCCTGGAAAATGTCACTCCTCCTCCAGGCTTGTTTGTCACAGCTCCAGTTGTTTAAAACTTTTTAGTTATTGCTCCAACTTCAAATATACTAACGTTTAGGAAAGTATTTTTCCTGTTTCTATGTCTGGATCTTATGCAGAAAAATACATTTCTCCTTTATTACAATATGTTCCCAAGTCGTTCCTGCTTTGAGAAGAGGCAAAGAAAAAAAAAGAAGATGAAGGCAAAAGCTTGATTTGTTTTTATTTCGGGGCTACAGAGAGCAGGGGTCTGACTTTTTGGATTTAATCTTTAAAAACCTATAAAAATGAGTCATTTTGTTTCCATCTCTGAACTTTGCACAGCTTTGTGTTGATCTAAAACTTAAAAAAAAAAAAAACAATAAAATGTTATTTGTGATTGTGATTCCTGTTGATATACCTCTGCATGAATCCATACCAGCCATTACTGTAGCATCATCTTGTAACTCTGCGCTGCAGACATCCAGGACATGAACTCGCGGCTCGTCTCCATGCTGTCTCTGCTGCAGTCCAGTCCTGACGTCAACCGCAACACTTTCCTCTACCTCATGCATCATCTGCAAAGGTCGGCGAACCTGCTGCTCGTCGCGAAAACGCAAAACTGCAATTTAAATCATATTCTAAATCCACCGAATGTTTGTTTTCGGAGTCGCTATGTTATAAAATCACATGGTAACAGGATCCTCACACTGAGGTCAGACTGCAACAAGAACCTGCAAATAAAGAAGTCATTTTATATTTGGTTTACTTTTTTTTCAGAGTTGCTAAGAGACAAGATGTTAACAAAATGACTCTGATGAACCTGGCTACAGTTTTTGGTCCCAGCCTCTTACGCCCCCCGGCGGCAGGATTGGAGCACAATGGAGTCACAGTGGACATCTCGCAGGAGGTGGTGATACAGGTCAGAACAAAATAAAACGTTTAGTCTGGAGAAGAATGACGACGCCGAAAAGTTTTAATCAAGCAACGAAAAGAAATATTTCATTAACTTTTGGTTTACATTTTAATGAGGCGGCGTCCAGTGCACATAAATAACACGATGGTTGGTGTGAAAAACGGTGTGATGTTTTTTTTTTCTTTTTCTTCTGACAAAAAATGTCTTTCTAGCCACATCTATATATTTATAAAAGTGACTAAATCGATGTGCAGACAGGAACGTTTTTCACAACACATTCTATGCGCAGCGCTTATTCAAGTATTGCTTTAGAAGAATTCAAAAACATTAAAGTTGTAGTTCAAAACTTTTGAAAGTAGTTTCTGATAAAAGGTTATAAGCAGTCTGAGGCAGATCATTATCTTAATCGTTTGGTATAAGACCCCGATGGGGAACAAGACCAGGGCAAAATTCTGCTGTTTGGAAACATGTCAGGTCACAAAATAGTGATGCATATTATGCAAATGCAATTTTATAAACTGCTAATTGTCACTATCTGTAATTTACAGGTCGTGAGATGCACAGAAAATAGAGACAGGAGATCCTGACATACAAAGTGAAAAACAAAAGTGAAAGCAAAGCGACGATGATGTCTCACCGTGCAGTCCAGACAAATTAGAAAAACAATATTGTTCCATTACCGTGTCGGAGAAGATTGCAGGAAATATATTTATTTCTTTTGTTGCGTAATTGTCCGTCTTGCTGCCTGAACCACATCTGGTGCAGCAGCGCGTAGCAAATGTAGAAACGAAACAACAATGTGGGGAGTAAAAGGAGCAACGGCTGACGACGACGGTCACAGCAAAAATGACATAAAATGAATTAGAATAAAAATACGACAGGATGCATTTACTCTGCAGCGAAAGGCCCTGATGAAGCCTGGAAAAGATGTCTGCCAACATTAGCATGACGGCTGCTAACTCTAGCTTCACCAGGAAAAGTGGAGTCTCAGTTCCAGCTGTTTTTTTTTTTTTTTATATGCTTTTGTGTTTTCTTCTAATTGAAATAGGACAACAAAAATGAAACCAATTGTCGCAGCAACACTTCCATAACTTCTGCTCCTTCTGTGTGTTTGCACTCAGGTCCAGGTGGTTTTCTCCTTCCTGCAGAGCAACAACCTCCCTGAAGCCCAGACCTCTCTGCCGTACGGCTCAGACACCGAAGAGGAGACCACCCACATGTGAGCCCACCGTCCGCCTGGAGGCCGGCAGGAGGTCAACGTAACAAGAAGGGGGGGGGGAGAGGGGTGTTTAAGCTCAGCTGTAAGATAATAAACTTAATTTATTGTTTAACAGAACACGAAACTTGGGTTTTTGTCATTTCGCAACATTTAGAGGTTTTGCGTTTTTACTCCGTGTGGCAGTTTCACTTTGCTTTTCGAAAACTGAAGATTCGGACTCGAAACAGAAAGATGGGATTTGAACACAGTGCCATCTTGCTGTGGGGCAACAGAAGTAACCTCCATATCCACTGTGCTAAAATATTTCTATGTGCTTTAGAAACATTACAGGCCCCCCCCCCCTCTGTTCAGTAGTTTCATATTTGAAGACCCAAGTGTTTGTGGATTTTTTTCTGAGAAAAGTAACTTCAAGTCATGCATGGAAAATTCACCTGTTTTTTGGGGAGCATGTCTAAAATATTTGAAAAAAAACTGCAGCGTTTAAACCTGAAACACATAAGAGCAACACGACATGATGCAACAAGCAGCCATTCGAGGAGATGTAATGACTTTAAGCCAAATAAAGAGCCCATTTATTGCGCTTCTTTATCACATAAGCCCATTCGAACCAAAAAGGTTTTAATCTGTCACTATCATTTATCAATATGTATCAGTCTTGCATCAGTTTATAAAAGATATTTTAATATTTAACTGTTTTAATCATTCACAAAAAAAGGTGTCCAGGAAAGCAAAGGGGGACGAGAGAGGGATGCTTTAACTGTAAATGTGCAGGCCTGTCCGGGTGACCTGGGTGGTAAACGGAGGAACATCAAGTTAAAATGCAGTTGAGGGAAAAAAAAAAAATCAGGGGAGCACATGTTGTCAAAAGGTCACCGGTCCCGTCTCCGAGCCTGAAATACAATCGGTCGTGGTTCAAATCCAACTAGACGGAGTTCACCACGCAGTGTATGCCCTGTAAAAGTCAGGAGCACACGTACGTACACACACACACACACGGCCTGCATTTGACCCGCCCCTGCCACAGATGCGAGTTTCTTTCCCGTCGCACCACCTGCAAAGGCCCGGTTAGTGTTTCCTCTTAGCCGAATTCTCCCCTCCCTCCCGTCTTCGATCAGCCTTTTGATGGCTAATCCTGGACTCTTGAGTTTGACTCTCAGGGTACTAATAGACCGGAGAGAGAGAGAGAGAGAGTGTGTGTGTGTGTGTGTGCAGACGCTGTAACAGAGGGAAGAGACTGATGGCGGGATCACCCCGTCGGCCCTGGCGGCATAAATCACATGTCTCCCTCGAACACGGCGGCGACCAGAGTCGGGTTCCACCATTCGACAACTACAAAGACAAAACCAGGTTCCCGTTGCAAACTACAAAGAGGACGGAGTTAAGAAAGGCCCGGAGCAGCCCAGACGGGACGGGCTGACACCTGGGGGCAGCGGGAACAGTTTTCATCCAGGAGGCCAAGTTACGGCGGCCATGTTTCTGACGCTCCAACACAACCGTAAACTCACAGGAAAACTGTTTGATGTTGGTCAGTTTTGGCAGTCTGGCTCAACAAATAAAAAAAAGTTAATAAATAAAAAGCTTTATGATAATATATTTCTGTCTAAGCTTTAACTGACTTGTCAGGAAATCCTGATCACACATGTTTTTTTTTTCATGTGATCAGTTGAGGGAAAAATAAATAGCAGGCCCATTTACTTGGGATGTTTTTTAGTCACTATGTGTGCTGATAAGTTTTCTAACTACTTTTAACTCTCAGAAAGAACGAACCAACTTTTTACTTCTCTACAGATGCAGAAAAAAATCTATAGGGAAGATTTAAAGAAAAGAAAAACTGTTTTCATATTTTATATCTAATCTTTTACAGGAGCGTCACAGAAAACTTATGAATCCAATATCGAATCCAACTATCCCCACAGATAAACGCTCTAAAAAATTAAAATGACCATTTATTTTCCCTTCATTGGCTTCTTAAATCAGAGTTTTAGATTTTTTTCAGTGTGTTGTTTTAAAACTACGTATGGTTTAGGGTATGGAACAAAGCATCAAGTCTGCAGTGGAATATATCTAGTATTGGATAATTCAGTCCATATCTGTTCAATTTAAGTGTCAAATTTTAAAGTAGACCTAGAAAACCTTTACCAGTCAACTAGCTGAGAACCCAACATTGTATTAATTTGCTAAAATGTGCAAAAAGGAGCTGAAAAATTGAGCAGAGAGAATTTTAAAACGTAAAATGTGTAGAAATCCCAGATTTCTCGTCGTTTAAGTCTAGCTTTTATGACATGTTAGAGGAATGCCGGTGTGCTTATGCCTGTAATGCTCCATGTTGTTACCGCGCGCGTCTTTGTGTTGCTGCCTGCAGCCATGCTACGCTTGATTAGCCCTAATCTGGCTGGGAGTCAGGTTGCCGTGTCGGCGGCGTGTGTGTATGGAAAGCATGCAGGCTGCAGATCACAGGGATTGACCCTCAGCCTCTCAGGTTAACAGAAGCCTCCACGTATGTGTGTGTGTGTGTGTGTGTGTGTGCGTGCATGTGTGTGTGTGTGTTCTGAAAACTCTGGCTGTGAAACGTACAAACCATCTCTGCTCTCGGGTGTAAGAGACAGGCATCTGGGGCGTGTGAAGAATCGCTGTCCGGATCAACCGCACAATGTTCGGCTGCGGGTTTAATAAAGAAAGCGACGGGAAAAGTAGCGACACGGACGCATGCGAGTCTGTAAGAGGCCTAGTTGAACTTTGGCTCTGGGTTCAACGCAGCAGAGCTCACCTCTCATAAAACTCGCCCTGTTCGGGCTGTAAACATAATACCACACACTCACACTCTGCTGCCACCAGTCCCAGAGACAGATTGCCCTTTTATGAACGCACTATCCAAACAGCCGGCTGTTTCTCATCCCCCCGCACCACCACACCACCGGTGCTTCAAACAACAGAGAACGTGTTGCTGGTTTAGCAGGAACAGAACCGCAGCAGAGCGGTTGCCTGCAGCAGAGTGAGCCGCCAGCTTAAGTTGTCTGTTAGTGTCTGTGTAAGTGTGTGTTCGGGAAGTTTTTGGGATCAAACCCTCATGTCGACAGAGCCGGCGTTGAAGAGACGACCGCTGACAGGTGCTTCCTGCAGCAACACAGCAGGTGCTTCAAACTCACTCTCTCTCTCTCTCACACACACACACACACACACACACACACACACACACACACACACACACACACACACACACACACACACACACACAGGCAGAGGCACACATGTTTGCATGGCTATCTTTGTGGGGACTTTCCATTGACTTCCATTCATTTCTACAGCCTAAACCTTATCCCAACCCTAACCCTATCTATGACATCCCTAACCCAAACCAAAACTCAATTCACACCTTAGTCCTAAATCTGACCCTTGACCCTAAAAACAGCGTTTCTCCTTGTGGGGACCAGGCTTCAGTCCCCACAACGTAGTATGTGTCAGGAAAATGGTCCCCACAAGGTATTACAGATACTTTACCACGATTCTATGTGTACTGACGCACATAAATACACACACACACACACACACTTTTCTTACCCCTTTGACACACACAAGCTGGGCTGCAGGCTAAACTTAACTCTCACAGCCGCTGTGCATCTCAGGGTTCCGTTCGTTTGGTATCATTTTCTTAAGCGGCCTCTCTTTACTTGTTGCTTTTAGAAAATACATGTTGACTAGGAAAACTGTCATTTACTACAATTAACTCTGGTTTATGCCTAAAGTTTCACTTTTCAGCCTCGAGCCGTGAAACCGCAGCCGATGAAGGAGAGTCTTATCCGTCTTCTGGAGGCTCATCTGATCAAATGAAATCCCCTCATTCGGGTCTGTTTTGGTCCGTTCAGCTGCCAGCATCACCGGATGTCAGCCGAGTGTTTTGCAGTCACTCTATATAGCATCACTTTCAGCAGCTGCCTGCTGTTAAAAGCTGTCCTGAAAACACTGAATGGGAACCAAAACTGAAACGTTACCAGAAGGAAACCAAAAGCAGAAGTAGTAAAATCTAAAAATTGTCCCTGCAGAATATTAGCGTTTCTTTTCTTTCTTTTTTTTTTTTCAAGGCCGACCGCAGCACAATAATTCTCTTGGGAATTATTAACACATTTAATTTAATTCTTAGGAGTCCAATTCAGCTAGTTAACAGTTAGATAATGTTGTTATATCACAAATGACGACACTCCTCTCTATTCTTTTAAAGGTTTTAGCAGCAATGGTTGAACTCTAAGGAGCAACAAAAGCAAATTAAGTGGATTAGCAGTACATGCTAATCACAAATGTGTCATCCAGGACATGTTACTGTGGAAAATTGTTTTGATTATCTGGGTATTGAGCAGTTAGCATAACTAGCATAGCATAACTGCTATACAGCCAGTCTTCAGTCAGAGGCCTCTTGAGATTCGTAGCAAGACTGACTGCTACCGTCCACATACATGGATGATGAGATACGACTTTTATCTTAATTAAATTAAATTGAATTGAATTTATTGAGAGCAATTAGACAGGAAACATCCATCAAAGATCTAATGGTTGGGATGCACCACTCCGATCCTTTTTTTTCCCCACTGTGACTTTGAATGAGAATTATTCAATAAATTAGAATATGAGTATGATGAGACTTTGTCAAATTACAAGCAGCTTTTTAAAATATCAACCTTTAAGGAGATATTCAGCATTCTTTTTTTTTTATTAATTTTTTTTTTATTAATTAGCCCACATTTCACTTTTCTGCATTAAAGTTGTTCGTAACATTATAAACTTAAATGTTTTTATCACCTCCAAGCAGAAAAACATAAAAATGAACAGAAATAAAGATTTGAATATATGAAACTAACATAGATGTCTCACTCAGTGAACAGTTACTGAAATAAATGAACTTTTCAATAATATTTTAATTCAATGAATATGACTCAGGAACGTGATATATTTGAACCCTTAAAAGATTTTTTAAAAAAATCTTATTTAGACATGTTTGTTTTTATGCAATAATAAAAAATATAAAAGGTTTAAATGCATTTTATGTAATCTGTTCACTGCATATCTTCCTCTTTTTTAAGTTAAAGTTATTAAAATTCAGATTTAGATTAATTTAGGCATTGTTTAATTTGATCAGGATTTTTGAAATGTGTTAGTGTGTGCGTTCGTTTTATTTTGGAATCAGACAAAAAACAAATGTCTGATGCCATTCAGTGGACTTGTTTTCCCTAATAGGTGTGTGTTTATTGTGTATATAGTTTGTTTTTGTGACGTTACAGAAAGTTTGCTTGGTGACTCCATAGATTACTTAATTTTTCTTGGATGCTTCCTTCAACAAGCATATTTGGCTCATTGGTTACGCTAAACTTCAGTGCGTTTGTGACATTATAAACAATCCATTCATGGTTTAATTAAACAAGAGTGTAGAGAAGAAATTAGTTTATAGTGTGTGGTGCTTATTGTTTTTGCTAATTAAAAAAAATACTTGATTTTTTTTTTTCCTTTTGCTACTTTGGTTTCTAAATAATTGACTATAAAACTCTTGAACCGTATGAATAATTTTAATATGCACATTACACATCAGTTCTGGCAGCTAGCTAATTTTTATTTGCAATAACATTTCCTAATAACACATCGAACATTATCGGATTACCAATTTAAAAAAAAAAATACTTGGGAAGGAGAATCCAAGAGGAGATAGAAATGACTAAAGCAAAAATCTTAAAATGCCGTTTACATCTAATTGTAAGACGAGCTGCCAGCTGAGTTTAGGGACATGTGGGTCTCCAAGCACAAAGAAGAAAAAATAAAAACTCTCTGGGGCGTATTGTATGCTCTGCTCCAAGGTCTTCAATCAGCAAGTCTATTTTTCTCTCTTTATTTTCAATCACAAGCGTCAACATGGCAGCCCGGCCGCCGCTGCTGCCAAAACATGGCCGCCGCTCGACAAATCGGAGCCCCTCCATCTGTCCTGATGCCCCCCCACCACCAGCTCCCCAGAGCCATGACGCCATATGTGCCAAATGGGAGCAGAAGTCACATCGACAAGTCAGACGGATGTTTTTCGGATCTGCGGGAGGATTAGCGTAGAAAGCCGGAGTTGGTTTGGTGAATGTGTTTGTTGAGTACGGAAACAAACCGAGGATAAAGTCTGTTTGCTCTGCTGCAGCTGTGACTGCAGGCCTGAGCGATTTTTGCTCTAAGCAAAATGAAATCATGGACAAATCTACAATTTTTAGTTCATAGCAGATGTTTTATTATTTAACTTTTTTTTTTATTCATTCAAATGAAATTTTAAGATTTTTATTTTTACATTATAAAAAGCATTACGTCATATTGCAAACAGTTTGACCCAGATTATTTTTCAGCCTGTTTGACTAAAAGTCTTCTAATATGAAACACTGTGAAGAAATTCTCCTATTTTATGCCTTAAGTTTTTCTGTAACGGAAATAAATAAAACATTCTGGTTATAAACAGTGAAAATACAAGAAAATATACAGCATGACTTTTCAGTGCTTATTTTTTTTAATGGGTTAAAAAAAACAAATATTTTATCCCACCACTTTTCCTGGTGGGATACTTTTGTCATCGATTAACTTTTGTAATTTTCTCCTGTAAATTCACGCAGCAGCAGCTAAAAGCTAATCCAGATGTTTCTCATGTGTGAAGATGGATTTCTTTCCTCAAAATGGACAAAGAAGTCCAAACTCTCTACTAAAACCTTCAACATGACAAGAACACCTGTCTTTATATATATATATATATTTTTTTTTTGTAGTTGTAATTTTTTTATTTTACTCAGGATTTGGAGTCGAACACACCAGAGCGACGGTGGAAGAAACGGGCGCCGTCTCTGTGGGTGCAACGTTTCTCTCTGTGTTGCTCTGAGCCTCATCCGAGTTCACAGTTTTGTCAAAATGAGCGCTGGCGTCCTTCTCAGTCAGCAGGTGAGGGGGGATGTATGCGGAGCGTGTCTTTGCGTGCTCCCTGCTCCGGGGCCGGTGGGCGTTTGGGGGTCTTTGGGGGCAGCGGCCCCTCTTGTCCTGCCCCCGGAAGCCCCTGAGCTTGGGGCTCCAGTGTTCCCGCCACTGGAGGGCCAGCGTGGAGCGGTCCGCCACCAGGCGACTCTCTTCCGGAGCCAAACTCCGCTCCCCTTCCTCCGCGCCGATGAGGAGGAACGTCCGGCCCACGTGGAGGGCGGGGCAGCCGCAGCCGAGGTCGCGGTCGGGAACCCAGAGGGACTGGGAGCCCCTCCGGATGCGGGAGCTAGAGCCGGTCCGGAAGACGGTTTGTACAGCGATGGAGAACTGCCACCAGGGTCCTGAACGCTCCATCCCTCTCACCTGCACCTTCAGCACTGACAAAGAGAAAAACACTGTAATGTCGTCCTTTACATTCTGAAGGGATTACGCTAAGATAATCTGAGTAAATACAGCAGCGAGTGACAGGTGTATGTGATCTTTTTACACTGGTTTACAGAGATTTGACCTTCTTTTCCTTATAGGACTATTTTAATTCAGCAACACTGAAAGGTGCCCTGTAAAACATCCAGAATTTCAATTGGATTTAATTCCCAACTTTGACTAGACCACCCCGTTTCTTTCATGAATGTTTTTGGAGCCGATGAGAGAACCTACTGGTGAGATTTGGACGATCGCTCTGCTGCATGTCAGACGCAAGACTTTCTAAGTGATGGTCGGATTTTTTTTTTTGTTTGTATCTTCTTGCAGAACCCAAGGTTCCATCCTTCAAAAGAAGTCCAGAAGCAGCAAAGCCGTCCCACTTCATCAAACTACAACCATCGTTATCTGACCTCCAGTGTTATGTTGTTATACTTTTATCGCAGGCGTAGTAGGATGTACATTTTTAAAAACGTTTCACTTGGTGAAACGTTTTAAAATGTCTGTTACGTCCTGGATGAGTTGTTGATGTTCCTGTTGAGTAATTTTGGTCAGCCAGCCTCTCCTTGGAAAATTCACCACCGTTTTACGATTTTCCATTTGAGCATGATGGTTTCTGCTTTGGCTCACTTCATTCTTCATTCTCAAATCCTTAGATGTTAATTGCTTTTCTTTCCCCCAGCTCTTCAAATTCCTTCAAATCACATGATGTGTTGCTTTTTTTAAAAACTTTTAATGTTCCCAGACTGGTTCTGTTTAAGTGATTTCACGACTCTACTATTCAGGCCGGGGTGTGAAGCTGTATTATGTATATAAATTGTGTTTAAAAACTGTTAATTTATGATTCGTCAGAGCAATTGTTGGTTCTGTGGGTCGTGCAAACATGTTATGGTTACAGGCAACTACTTTTTCACTTAAGGACCGATTAATTTGGACAGATTTATTCCCTTAGTAAGCGACGTCAAAAACAGTTTATATACATAAATTTATTCCTTGGGCTGAAACATTAACATGAGATGAAAAAGTAAAAAAAAAGAAGAAATTTTTAAAAAGGTAAATAAATTTCCCACTACAGTTTTTCAATTATTTCTAATATTTTTGGGTTGTAAATTTGTCTAAGTTTCCTGAGTTCTGTGCTAAAACAAGTGATGGCCCTGGGATTAAAAATAAGAAAAAAAATATACAAATTTGTCTTTTACCTAGCAGTTTTGCAGTGTGTTTGATTAATAAGATCTACTTATTGTGTAACGTAATTAATCATACCTCAAATTTATGATAAGATACATTAAAATTCTCAAATCTAGGATCTTTACTAATTTTTTAAAAATAAATAACTTGAAACCAACCGTAGTCCTTGAGACAATACGTCTCCAGGTTCATCCTGACTTTGACCTCAGAGGGCTGGCAGTAAGACACACACTCCTCCGCTGCAGGAAAAAGGAAGACAGAGAAAATGCAGCGAGGTGAGAGGCCGCATCATTCCTCAGTACACACATCAACACGCGTCTTTTAGTGTAATTGCAGTACGACTCCTTCCACGCGTCGTCGCTGGATCTGATCATCTCGGCAGCAGCAGCAGGTGGGGATTTCTTCAAGCTGCCACTAGGAGGGACCGGTTCCCTACTTCAGCGCGGCGTAAAGCAGCCGAAAGCGTTTCGAGGGCCGATCCGCTAGGCAATAGAGACGCCTGAGAACAGATCTGATATCTGTCGACACAAGAGACTAAAACCTTTGTACTGGAAATTCATGCTGAAAGCTCATGTATCCTTATTTCATCTTATTCTGTACTAAACTGTTTCATGCAAGAATCTTTGTTTGTTTTTTTAAGTTAATCTATATAATAAAACTACAGATGTGTTCATCATGCTTTATCAAAGTAGGTTTGACATGCCAGCTATGACTGTCTGAATTTATTTAAAAGTATTAAAGTGCAAATAAGTGCTACTTATAATGTGTTTATAGAGACAGAAATAAAACTTTTGTCTGCCTTATAAAATAAAATATAAGGAAAAAATTCAACTGGAAATGTAAGCATTTAACCTGGAGAAGTTGAACAGTTTGTATGAGAAATGTTGTTTAAGACTGTCGTTTGTGTGTAATGAATGATTTTGTAAAAAAAAAAAAAAAAAAAATTGTAAAATTACAAATACTTATTTGTAATTTGCTTTGAAGTCGGGCGTTCTTTTTAAACTGGCTTTGACCAACATTTCTCTGGACTTTTCTGAAAACACTCGAGATATTTTCTTTGAATTTTGTCTTTAGCTCTGACTAATTTTAGCTCTGACAAGTGAACCAGATTAGACATAAGGAGGCTCTTAAACTCTCTAAGAGTTACACGATATTGTGGTAAGGTACATAAACTGCAAATGGGTGAAAAAGTAGGAGAAGTCTGAAGAAAAAATAACAGGAAGGGAAAAGAAATTAGCTCTGGTTAAAATGTACACATGAGACTGTAAAAATTAAAGCGACAAGGCAGGAGTTTGAATTTTATTTTTATCGAGAGGCTTTCTATTTTCAAACTGGATGAGGTTCAAGACAAACATATCCGTAACAGCCATAAAAGTCACAATATATGCCGCAGTGAACAGATTTCATAGTACTTTAAAAAGCACTACAAAAAGAAATCGTGTGCTTATACAAACAGATTTTTGGTAAGTTACTCACTGATGCTGTACTGAGGTTGGTACACAGGGGTTGGCGCGACCTCCTGAATGCCTGTGAGCAGAAACACACCATCAGGTGTCAGACGCAGACAAACTTCACCTGCGAGAGCCGTCAGTTCGGCTGCAGTCGTGTTTTATAGGCGTTGAGCTCGAATGCCTCGTGGTGCACAGGCATGCCTTCGCAAAAGATAAGCAAAAGGGGTGTGTGGTCCTTTTACGGCCTGGAAGCGCAGCCTGTGAGGCTTGCTCAGACAAACACAGATGTGAATGTTACTTTCAGTAATTCAGTAAGGTAAGGCTTTCAACTCCTTGTACAGCTTTAGCCGAAACATTAAACAGAGGCTAGTAAAGTCAGCTGCTCTTTTAGTGTGTGTGTGTGTGTGTGTCAAATTCAGGAGTGAAAATTAATAACTTGTGGCCTGCTTATACATTACACAGACTTCTTGTAAAATAGCCCATGTATGACGGCTTCACAAATGAATTACTTTCTGTGTGTCGTGTCTTTGACACAGCGACACCCGACCCGGAGCAGACGCAGGCGTAAACTGGACGTGGTGTGTGTCTGATCCTCCCATTGTTATAGGGTGGTCAGTGCGCTGTATGCAAAGGAGAATGTTTATTTAAACTTCCTTTGTGAATACAACATCCACAGTTTTTTAAAGCGATATGTCCTCTTTTTTTAAAGTTAGTTTATCTTAAAGTTAGTTGAAGTCTCACAAATTAAATATTTTAGCAATAATAATAATATGGTTGACTAAATTATATATATATATATATATATATACACATCTCTGGAAAAAATAAAGAGACCACTTAAAATGATCCATTTCTCTCATTTTACTTTTTATAGGTTTACGTTTGAGTAAAATGAACATTGTTATTTTATTCTATGAACTACTGACAACATGTTAAAGTTCAAAGCAAAAATTTCGTATTTATTTGCTGAAAATGAGAAACGGTCAAAATATGGGAAAAGATAATGCAAAGAAAACAAGTTGATATTCATTTAGAAACAACAATACTAATGTTTTGACTCAGGAAGAGTTCAAGAATCAATCTTCGGTGGAAAAACCAGGAGGTTTTCAGTGGCGTTCAGTGCAGTGGGCTCTTAATTTTTCCCCAGAGCTGTATTACTTATTAATTAACAAGTCTAACTGTGCCAGCTAGCAGGCTGCTAAAAGTAATTGTGTTGCTTTTGTAGGAGAAAATAGCATAAATACCAAGCAAATAAAAGTGTCTGGCAGCAGCCAGCTTGGAGCTCCGCCTCATTGGAGATGAGTTAAGGTGCTGGAGGCGGCAGTGGGGACGGAGGGATGCTATATATAGCCTGCGATGGTCTGGCAGTAAAAACAAACAAGGTTTTCTTTCACTCACTGCTTTCACTGGGAAGAGTTATAGGTCTGGGGGTGTCATGGTGGGCGTTTGAGCCGTGAAACAGGTGTGGAGGTCCCTGCTTCAGGGCTCACAGCGTCACCTGATTGGGGCTCACAGAGCAGCGCTGCCTGTGTAGTTGTTGGCACTCGGGTGATTAGCTGGGGCTGTGCGTGCGGATTATCACCGCAGGCTGATTTTTGCTGCTGCGCAGGCAGAGAGGGGTGCAGCAGCGATCCGTTTGATCAGAGATCAACGTGAGATGAGGTTTCCTTGTATTGCTCGGCTCATGTTTAACGCTGCCGTGGAAACCGTCTCCGGGGACGACGAGAGGGAGACGCTGCGAAAGACTGGGCTGAGTGAACTTGGGTGCAAGTTGCTCTCTTTCATCAGCCTCTCATTTGGTTGAAGGATTAAGAGATTAAATTAGGGTTTAAGACAGTAAACCATAAGGAAATTAGGCTAATGGAAAAAAATAAAGATGTCTGTACATCAAATAGACATGAATCTATTAAAAACCACAGAGGGTGTGTTAAGTAAAAAAAAAAAAAAAGTAATTAGCTTCAGGTTCTTCTTCTGTAAAATTGGCAAAAGTAGGCTGCTGGAATTAGACAAGAGTTTATTAAAATATGTTTCAAATGAGGCAATGTCATAATGCATGAATTATTGCACAATTTGAGGAATGATTACCTGAAAAACAATCACTCCTCTTGATATTTAATAAAATACTGAGTAAGCTTTATATAACAGCTTCAATCATTTAGAAAAAAAAGGGAAAATGAAAGATGTCTCTTTGTTAAGTAAATAGCAAGTTATTAAAAACAAGACAGGGCCAGTTTAGTAAAAACAGTTCTTAATTTGACTTGGCAAAGAACAAAGAACTGATTATTAAAAAAACCCACTTTTAATTCATGAACATAATAACAACTCAAGAGCAAAAGCTACATCCATGAGGAAAGAAATTCACCAAAAGCCCCACAGAATATTATGAATTTCATAGCAATTCTTGACACAGTTAAATCTTAGAAAAAGTTTGCATTCGCACGACTCCGTTCTGTGTTACCGGATCTTTCTTTCGTTTGTTCAGACTCACGTATGCAGGGCCGCAGCGGGGACTTGCCCTGCTTGTATCCTGGGGCGCAGCGGTTGCACCTGAGGCCGGTCACTCCTTCTCGACACAAACACTGACCCGACGTTTGGTTGCACCAGCGACCCACAGCTCCCAGAGGATGGCACTGGCATGCTGGGTTAGGAAATAAAAAAAAAACACCAAAAGTCTTGATTTCAGGAATTAAAACAAACAAACAAAAAACCGTCATGTTTCTTCATTTATTCAACGTTTCCTCTATCACTTTATGTTTAGTTTGTTTTCGAGGGGAGAAAGTGTATTTGTTCATATTGTCATTTGCGGTTAAAATGGCAGTAGTTTTGTTTTAAATGGCAACAAAACTACAAGGTCCATAATGCTGGGAAGCAACAAGTCTTTTTTTTTATTTTGTGGAAAATTAGCTTAATTTCTTACGCAATGAAAATCAAGATGTACTTTTTACCTCAATTAGCAACGTTAAGTTTGTCATTGAAAAGCATATATTTGACTTGAAAACACACTAAAATGAGCTTAAAATGAACCGTCACCAAGCTTACTAAGTGCTGCACTTGAAAAAGGGAAGCATGAAAAAACAGCAGTTTCGTTGACAACACAGCATTTACAAGCTGACCATGCAAGATGAGTTTAACATTAATTGTTAAGTAAATTAAGTTAATTTAAGCAATTTGTGTAAGTGTTATATTTAAGTCCTAATGATATTTTGTTATATTACAACAATCAGGACAGCAAAAATTGTTACAATTTTGCATTGTAAGTGTTTAAATATTATTCAGGTTCTTATTCAGGTTTTTTTTCTTCTTAAATTTATGGGTTAAAAAAAACTGTATCAAAGTACATTACGGCTGTAATGATCAATGTGAGAATCTCTAACTGGGCTATGGCTTGAAACAACATTTGCTCTTATTTGCACTAATAGAAGCAGGAAAAACAAACCAAATTAATTGAATTATTACGCCAGAACAATTGGCTGAAAAATGGATAAAAAATAGCATCTCCCAGCATATCTCCGTGGAGTGACAAAGTAAAAGCAGTTCATAAAGGTTTTTAGAAAGACAAAGACAGACAGAACCCGTCCCAAAGTGGACAACTAGTCAGTGGTTTAATCCCAAACGACAGCAGGCATCTGTCCTAAACGTGCGTCCTTGAGTGAGACAAAGCACGTCCCCGGGAGACCGGCGAATCTATTTTGTAGCCGTCTCGACGGCTAACAAAGACAAATTCCTCCTTGAAGGGTAACAAGAAAATAACAAATCCTGACACGGTATCCGTACCGCTCCGGCGCTTTTCTGAGAGGATGAACAACCTTCGTCTAAATGAAGACAAATGTTGTGCCCTAAGTCATCCGTTTCCTTTAGGAAGGGCTGTGAAGCAGCACAGTTATTACCGCCCAGTTTACATAGCAAAGCTTTTTTTTTTATTATTTAACGTTTCAATCACGCGACTAAATGAGAGAGGACAGACGGGGAAAAAAAAAGGAAGCTGCACTTCAGCACACTCGAGTGTTGTTTACACAGAAACTTGTAATGGTTCCTAACAGCCTGGCTGGAGAAAATAAAGAATAATGTCCCCAGTTGCTCCAGAATGGCAGTGATGTAAAGCTTCAATTAGGCAATGCCGAGGCATAATGTCAATTTGCTGGTCTGAACAAAAAATGGTGAAATATGAGCTTATTTAACCCTTTCTTGTCAAGACTAGAGGAACTATTAACGTTGGATATGTTAGGCTGCTGGTCGAGGCGCCATGTGAGCGCGCCAAGGTGTCACAGTCAGTTGTGACCGGTCAAAGGTCAGCAGTCGTGGCATTTGCCAACCAGTGGTAGCAATGAGGGTACAGGTGTTAAGGCTCAGCGGGAAGCTTTTTGCGTCTACATTGCTAACACAATCCCGACCATGTAAGCAGAAGCAGCGACGCAGTGCAACAGTTCATAGAGCATTGAGTGGAAACAAGAAGTCTCCACATTCCTGTTAAATTGCCAGCTTTTTGTTAGGTGGAACACCGAGTTCACGTCAAATCAACCCAAGCAACATAAATCCTGACAATCTTTCAGCTCAGCTCTTTGGCAGCAATAATGCTCCCAAGTAGCATTATTGCTACAACAACAAATGTCATGATCCAAAGGGCTTCCAAAGCAGCAGGATGGATCTCATTGTCTAAATGGTATCAGTCAGGAGATGGGTTCTAAATCATTCACAGGCGAGTAGTCAAAACGTTGCTCATGAACATTTAACCAGATGTTTCTGCAAAAGTAATGCAAAGACACCAAGAACGTTTATCAGGGAGGCAGCAAAGAGAAGCAAAGCAACATTTAAGGAGCTGCAGGAATTTTTAATTTCAGATTTTAAATTGTTTTCATTTATGCTTGTGATAGGAAACGAGAAACATATCTCTTAACAGAGAGATCATTTAAAGTTCTAAGCATTGTTTTTCTTATTACAAAATGTAACTTCACACTTGTATTTTGATGATTTATCTCTGAGTTTTGAAGGTCTCCTTGTCATCACCTTAATTCTTATCACTGTCTAATCATTTTTAATTCAGATTCGAGGGTTTTTGGCTAAATCAGATAAATCTGAAGAAACATGCATGTAAAATTAAAAGGTTACTTTAAACAGAAATTTCCTATTTGTCTACATAATTTTGGGCTTAGCTGTAAATTCCTCCAATTCAAAAAGTTTGATAACTTTGATCAAAATCTGCAGGATTTAATTAAACCTGTCCGCTATTGCAAAACCATATTGTTTTTTTTCTTCTTTTACACCTTAAAAGATTTATTTAAATTGAGCTTCAGTTGTTATATACGGAAGAGGATTCCGTATATAACAAAGATATATATATAACACAGAATTTTGACTAACAAATAACAAAGAATTTTGACTAACAAAGTCAAATTCTGACTTTGATCTCAGAATTCTGATTTCTGAGATTAATGTCAGAATTCTGACTTTTTTCTCAGAATTCTGAGATTAAAGTCAGAATTTTTTTTTTTTTCCAGTGGCCCTAATGGTCTTCCGTAGTTATAGGTCAAATCAAATATGGATGAAGTTCTCAAATGACGTATGTTGACGTCACAAACAACTTCCTGGCCTTTCTGCCCTCTTTTGCCCCCACTTCCCTCTTCACACAGAGCGTTATCACAGAAACCTGAACAGTGACCGACGTTGGCAGGCCTTGCGGTGGTCCAGCGGCTTGCTGGTGTCGCGGGTGAAGCCGTTCTGGCAGTACTGGCAGTGGCGCCCGGCCGTGTGGTGGCGACACTTCAGGCACACGCCTCCGCTCTTCCTGCCCGACTGCTGGAACACCTCCATGCTGAAGCGGCATTTGTTGGAGTGGCCATTACACTCACAGGCTGGACAAAAGCGAAAATAAAGAGCAGTATTGACATTATATAATGAAACAATCAAAACGTGCTTCATGCTCCATAGCGTGATAGCTGCGCAAAGCCGAACGGTGGCTAACTAAGCGGTGAGCTAATGTCTCCGCACCACCAGGGGGCCCCCAAGAGCACTACAACTGCAGTAGACGTCATATTTACAAATTTATATTTTCCGTTTTGTCACATCAGTTGTAATTTGATAGACAACTAAAATCTTCAATTTATTTTTCTAAGATTTTATATGATAAACTCAAATGAGTAATAATTTAACAATGAACCTGAACCACGAGCACACCATAGTAACAACTGTGGGAAAAACAATCTGGAAAAAAAAAAGAAAACATTTTGGGATGCAAAAGTCTTGAGGACAGGCAGAGTTAATCTTCCAGAAGGAAAAAAACTCTAAATACACAGCAGAGCTGGATTGACATGGTTTAAAATGTATTCATGTTTTAGAGTCCAGATTTAAATTCAACATAGTCTGAACCAAGAATTTGATGTTCACAGACACTAACCAATTTGGTTGAGCTCGAGCTTAGCTTGACCTTTTCCAACGTGAAAGGAATGGTCAAAAATAACAGTTTTTAAACAAAAGTCTTTGGAGAAATTTCTCTAAGCACTTCAACCTCAGAGCAAAGACCCAGTGACGATGCTGACTGAAGCTGGCAGTGTCATTAGCTGCAGTGAAAGGAGGCCAGTTCTGATATGAGCTGAACGGCCACTCAGCCAGGAAGAAGCCAAAACCCCCAAAACAACATAAGGGAGACAGGTAACAGTTTACCAATATGACCAGGGGACAAAAACCTTCATTTTTAAAACATGTCATGTGGTGTGAGAAAGTAAAATGGTACAGTCTGATTATAGTTATCCTTGTTACATTTGAAGGGAAAAAGCTTAAGAAAACTATCCTTGAGGATTCAAAATCAAGTTATGTGGTTACTCAGCTGTAGGAGGGGCTGGTGCATTTCAAACCATTATGTTGAAATCTTGAGAGTAAATGTGTCTTCCTAAAGTACAATGAAATGGCTAAAGAACAAGAAGTTCAATGTTTTTGAGTGGTCAATTCTGATTTCTGTCTCATAGATAATTTCTAGGCGGAGTTTGAGCAAGACGACCTTGCAGCTGACTCACTCCTGGTAGTTCTGTCAGCAAGAATGGAACAAGATTCCTCCAAACTATTTGTGGAAGACATCTGGAAAGGGACCCAAAAAGTTTGGAGTGAGTCATACAGACTAAAATGTAGTTCTGTCAAATACCAAGAATAATTTTGGAAATTCTAACTAACTTAAAACAGGAAGCATTTAGTCTGATTTAATGTCAAGCAGAGAGAGTAAAAAGGATTATGTCTTTTGATGCAGTGTATGTAAACATCTGGTCTCATCTGTATTCATAAATAGTGACAATCGTCTGGAAAATTCATTTTCTTTTCACGTTTGAAGAAAAGAACAGTTATAATAGAGGTACTGACTGTAATCATTTAAACAAAGAAAAAATTTAATTTGTGTTTCAGTAGAATTTCTCACTTAAAATAATACTAAAACTGTGTATTTTTTAATGTTTTAAACGGGCTAAAACAATTTCTCATGTGTCTCTAACAACAAAATGATCTAAATGGAAGGTTTTCTAAATGTTTTCTTCACCACCAGTCTGGAAAACAGATGTTAGGAAAAAAAAAACAATCCTGAAACAATCAAAAAGCAAGAACAGAGTTTCTGTGTGGTCAGCGTTACCATCTGGTTCCATTAGCCTGCTGTGTTTTAATGCATGCCTTCATTTAGCAAGACTCACCAACGCAGGGGTTTGGGTGAGTGGGTGTAGCGCGATGCCACGGTCTATCAACATAGAAATCCTCACACATGTCACAGTCGGGGCCCGCCGTGTGATGCTCGCACACACACACTGCCTGGCCTGCGTCGTCACGGCGACACCTGGAAGCGTGCCCGTTACATTTGCACCTCCCGCCGACTTGCAGGTCGGAAATGGCCAGAGGAGCTCGGACAGGAAGGATCAGGCCAGAGGGCTGGGAAGTCCTTAAGTTCTGTTTGGTGTTGGGGTTGTTGTTCCTCCTCTTCCTCAGTTCCCGGCCGCCGTTCGTCCTGCTCCGCCCTTCCACCGTCCACGTGCAGTCTCCGTTTGAGCAAGGCACCCAGAAGTTGTTGTCCCTGTTGCGATTTCGCTTTCTGGCCTTGCCACCTTTCTTTGGCGAAGCAAGTAAGTCGGTGGTGCCAAAAGTGTCTTCCCCTTCCTTGCTGGTCACGTTGTGGCCATCTTGGCCATGGCCAGAACCTTTGCGGTGGTCCTTCCGACGCTGCTTGTCTATCCGCTCCTCCTTATTCCCCCTACTTAACTCTGAGTTTTTTCTTTTGTCCCTGTCAAAAAAAGCCAGTGTATTGTCTCTTAATTTGTCCACCTGATCTCCAGTGTCGCTCTTTGTGTCCGACCTCCACTTCAGGATCCCAGTTCGTTTGGCGTCATGGAGGCCGTCACGCCACTGGGTCTCTTCTATTTTATCCGTAGCCTTCACATTGTTGGAAGTTCTGTGGAAGACAACCCGGATGTCCGTGGCCGTGACCCAGTCCTGGAGGGTGGGGCTGTAATCGAAATCAGGAGAAGACGGGCGACCGTCCAGAGTGGAGAAGGCGAGGACTGTGCTGCCCCGCTGCCTCTGCAGGGGCCGGGGGTCCGAACAGAGCGGTTCAGTCTCTTGGTGTCTCGTTTGGGCGATGGTCAGAGAGGGTTGCTTGAAGTCCTCCAGACAGTTGCTGGAGTAGTGCTGCATCGGCCGCCAGCTACGCCCGTGGTCCATGGATTTAAGGATGGAGATGGATATGGGGTTAGACGGCTGCCCTTGGCTGCAGAACTGCAAGCTGATGTAGGTGATCTCAAAGCGGCGGCCCAGAGGTAAGGTGAAGACCCAATCGCCAGAGTCGGCTCCAGCCCGGGCCCTCCAGCAGGTCAGGTTGTGCGGGTTGTGCAGGTCCGTTAGGGTGGTGATGTTGGGGTTGTTGTCTGGCCCGTGCAGGGAGTGGGTGACGTTGACTTGGACCCCGTAAGCGGCATTGATGAACTCCGACAGGCAGTGTCGAGGACGGCCATCTGGGTGGTAGCAGGGCTCGTGAGGCGAGGTCCAGCTCAGCGGGGCGTTGGAGAAGGAAGAGGAGACGAGAGACGGAGGGAGGAGGAGGAGTCGGAGGAGAACAGGAATGAGAGAGATGGAGGGGGGGAGGGAAGAGGGTCGGACCATCATGTCATCGAGCCTGAGGGAGAAGAAAGAGAACATTTTTTTAAAGGAAATTCATGAGCATTGTGGAAGAAGAGAGAGACAATCTGATTGATTTACGTTGGCATGTGAAGCATGAGAACGAAATCTAAGATAGACGACCACCTGTGTCTTCATTGAAAACACATGCTGCCGCCACTCGCACCTTACGTACTTTCTGCGGATCCCGGTTAAGAACTCATCACATAAAAACGTGACCTCGATCATCACAGTGGTGTCGCCACCGCTTCAAACCCGTAATCTTGACAACCTTTAGGAACGTATCCATCTTAAAACTCCCTCAAAGTCAAAGGGAGCACAGGGAACGGGTTGGAGGGAGCGCACGAGGTATGTCTGTAATGACAAAAAACATGCCCGACAGCTGGAGCTAAACCCTGCGCTGGCCCACATCCATCACATTTATTGCTCTCTTTTCAAACCGTTTTACCCTTGGTTGGCTCTGCAGGCTCGGAGAGGCCCGAGCGCGAGCAGCGGGCGCTGTCACGGTGCAGAGCAGAGCACATGAGAAAACGGAGGAAAAACTGAAGAAAGGGAGGGAGGAAGAGGAGCCAGAGATTTGTTCCTGGGTTGGCTGGAAGTGATTTATGGACTGAAAGACGCGTTTGACTTGAGCCCTGCTTTTGCTACTTCCGTGGTGGAAAACAAACACGGACCTGTGTCTATCCAGAGTGTGAACAAATCCCTTCCTATTGCTTACAACTGCTGATAGCTGTAAATTACTCTTCTGTCGAGATTTGATGACGGAGCCAAAACGGACAAAGCAAACAATCAGTCTGCTTCACTTTTCCACATTTGGTGATAATACACTCACAAAACCAATGGATTTTTAAAAAAATAAACTGTTCCATTTTTTCCATCGACCCCTTTCACTCTGATGCTCGTAAATAAAACCCAGTTCAATCAGTTGCCTTCTAAGTCACCAGCAGAGTCGACCTGCGTGTGATCTAATCTCAGAATAAATCCAACTGTTCTGTCCACACCGAGGTCAGAGAAGTTTAAAGTGGAAAAAGTTATAAAGCAAACCATCTTTGAACATCTCACAGAGATCTATTCAGTCTATCGTCCGTGGTAAACCTGGAGGAGCTGCAACAGTCCATAACTCCTGTGGGAGAATTTGTCCTCACCTAAATGTCAATTATCAAGTCAAATCATTTTATTTAGCCTTTATTTACACAGGAAAAAAGCTACTTGATATTAAAAATGGGATTAAGAGTGGCAAGAACAACAACAGCTTCAATAAATAAATACATTCCCATTTGCAGTTTTCCACAGGTCAAAAGAAAGACACCTCACTCCTCTTTTATGGAAGAAAAAGATAGTCAGCTGAGAACAAAATGTAAATAAAATCTGAACTAACAAAACCCAACACTGTTCATCATCCTGAACACATCATCTCTAAGGAGATGCATGGTAGTGCCTACGTAGTGCTGTGGGAATTTAGCAGGGAGAAGAAAAATATTTAAATTGGGGGGAGAAATGTCTTCAAAATCCAAGAAGAAATCAGTGTCAAAGTGCCGATATTTTTTTTCAATTAAACTATGTGTTGTTTTCCTCTTATTTTATAATAATGTATTATTTTCTGCAGGTAAATCACAGAAAATAAAATAAAAAAAATACAGTGTAAATACCAAACTCTCTATTTTACATAATATATCTTCCTGCCTTGTGCATTTTCTTTCCAGACTCTTTGCCATTTGCGTCCTCGTCTCTCTCCTGTCACCTGCCCCCTTCGTTCTGTTCTGGGAATATTCTTAACTGCTGTGAGATTGATGGCGTCCTAACAAGCATTTGACACTGACAGCAAAGTCAGCAGGGCAGCATAAACCAAACCTGTAGGAGAGAACGGGGTTGGGGATGGGGGGGGGGGGGGGCAGGGAGCCCCTTTGGCCCCGTCTTCCCCCCCATTTAGAAAACACCCGAAATCCGAGGCTTTCCTGGGAGACCACACAAGTTCGAGAGGTCTGTGCCCTCCAAACTCCTGCGCCCCTCACCTCCCGAAGGCGGCGGCCAGCTAAATCTGGGAGAGGAGTAAAGTTTTGTGCTGCAGATTGTGCAGGAAACATGCGGCGATGAGAGGTTTGACTGTGACCCCGGTCCCAAAGAGCCACATTCCTGACGTCCAGGATGCCTCAGCTAGCCATTCCTGGCGTGTCGAGACATGCCCCGGGGGAACATGAACGCACCGATAAGAAGCTGGACTTATAAGTTGTTGGTTGATTAATTAGTTCTCTGGTATTATTTGGTGTTTGTACCACGGACGCATAAAAAAAAAAAAAACGAGGAAGGCGGCATAGAGGGGAATGAATGTAGGGAAAAGGTTGAAGGATTCGGTGAGAGTGAAGATACAAGATAAGAGCCCCGTTTGTCATTTTAAACGACCACAACAAGGGCTTGATCCAGATTTTCTCCTCTCCCAAAACTACATCATCTAACATAATCCATCAGATTCTGGACATACACAGAGCATTCACTACTGAAATGCCATTTAGGCAAAAAATCTCATCAGTTCAAAAATAGGACATATAACACTAAGACGTCTTCCTGAGACACAAGCATGGACACTTTTTTCACGCTGCCCATGAAACGGAGAGTTTTGAAGTGTCCCGGCCGGCAGCGATACGTCTCGCAGAAAGCTCAAACAGTCAAATAGTGGTGTGATGAGATCAACCGCATCTCCGGCGGGTGATCTGTGGAGGCAGCTATGCTTGGCCAGCGAGGGGGCCGGAAAAATACTTGCTGACAACCTGGGGGCTTGTTTACGGCGCGGCCCGACAGATGCGAGCGAAGTAGGGCGACGGATCTGGAGTCCTCGTCGGTTACTGAATGTTCTTTTTGCTGCTCGTGAAGCAGAAATGTGTGAAACATGAGGATAGTTCGATTTGTTCTTTTCTCCTTTTTTTTGGTCAAAACTTTTTCAAATTTACTATTATTTTTAAATTATTCTGGGATTAACAACAACAAATCTAAGTAGATGCAGAGACGGCACAGCAATGCAAATGAATGAATGCTGTTAATTCACTGTATTCAGCGTTTTGCAAAAGTATTAATAAACCTTGGATTTTTTTTTTTTTTTACATTTTCTCGCATTATAACCACAAACTAATTCCAAAGTGTCAGGAAAATGATGCACTGATCTGATTGATTTTGTTTTTTTAATGTTTTGAATCATTACATTTATACCTACAGGTCTTTTGCTGTGTGTCTCTATCGGTTTTGGACATCTAGAGACTGAAATCTTTGCCGTTCTCTAAGGAATCCTCCCACAACTCCAGTGGGAAACAATAACCTCCACTCAAGTTTCCAAGTCATTTGGGAGCAGGTCCGGACTTTGACTGAGCCGGTCTAATATGCTTCGATGAAAGCCGTCGTGCTCGCGCCGCCTGTGTGTTGAGGGTCAGCCTTCTGCTAGAAGGCCCTGATCTAATCTGTCCGGGATCATTTCTGTAAGTATGCGTTGGACTATCAGAGACAAGCCTTGTAAAATAAATGAAGCTTAGACAGAAGGGCAGATCTCAACTCAAAAGTTAAGATCTGTAACTCCAGTTTTACTCTCATCCTCTTGGTGTCAGATGTTCCCTCTACACCGGGCCAAGCTGGTGAGTGGCATTCTGTGCCTTTTTACCTGCTAAACCGATGAAGACCTGTCCACACTTGGGAGCAGCGGGCCTGCCGTGCGTGACTCATGTTCTGCTCAGCAGATGAGCTGGATTTGGCCGGTCTAACACATTTTAACATTCCTCGTCATGGACAGCAGGAGCAGCAGCAGCAGCAGCCCTCTCCGTTCACGCCGAAGCCAACTCAAGCTGCTCTCCTTCCACGTTTTGGATTTCTACGGACTAAACGATCTAAATGAGCTCGGTTTAACGAGGCAGAAGATTTCCAAAGCAGGGTTCTTACGTTGCAGCTCCACTCCCAAGACTGGGGGAGCCTTTCGCGGATAAATATGATCAGTTATTTAGGCTCGCCGTCTCTCGCGTTGCGCTTGAAGCTGCACCTGTTGGCCCATGTTCCCACACTGACACCTTTTGTTAATTTCGCAATTGTTCTCAGCCGGGGTCAGAAATCCAACACTGGACCTCTGGGGCGAGGAGACGACGGCCGAGCGCGCTCGTCCGCGTATTCCCAAAGCGCATTCCGACTTCCACACGGAGCAGATTCCTGGTTTTAGGTGTAGTGACCTAATTTTAGAGCAGATTGTATCTGCTTGTGGCCTAAAAGACTCAAACCACCACTTGGTGCAACTTGGGGCCCTCCTCCAACTTCACATGGCGTGCGCTACTTGGCCATCATACCACTGACTGCACTGACCCACGCCGGAGCTTTGCTTTCTTTACTTTTTTTTTTTTTTTTTTTGACTAAAAAAACACATGTTGATATTTAAAGACAACTTTCCCTGCAAATCTCTCCCCCCTCCCCACTCCTCCTCTCTCCCCTTCGCCTCCTCTGTTCTTCTTTACAGCCGCACACAAGTTGGCAGGGAGGCTCCACGGGCCTCCAGCTCCACATGATGAGACTGAGAAACAGATGGAGATGAAATCATTCTGATTTCCACGTGGCAGCTGAGCCAAAGACAACTTGTGGGCAAATAATTAAACAATAAATAAAATCTCGCGGGTTGTAATTTTGTGTCGCTGAAATTGGCAGGTTGGTAATTAAAATCAGAGACGCCTGCAGGGTTTCTGAGGCTGTTGCTGAGAATTTGAAAAAAAAAAAAAAAAAAACAGCCAAAGAGCTGCAAATTCATAGACAGAAATGTGTTTCATGTAAAGGGGAGAAAAAGAAGGAAAAGAAAAACAAAACTGGGTGGATGGCTTTGTTTTGTTTTTTTTGTTTGTTTTTTTTTTTGCGCATTTACATTCCAGCGCAGTACAAACATTGTAAAGTTTGAGTTTCTCGTGGAAGCGAGGGCGGATGCTAATGAGAAAACAGCCTGCAGCCACTTGGAGGGAGCGCGCGCTCAAACCCGGGACCGACCGCGGTTCGTCAGAAGCTGATGTTCATCATATTGAGTCAGGATTACTTTGGCAGGCGCTGAGAGTGAAGCCCCGGGAAAACTCCGGCTAATTGCGCTTGTTGAGCAGAAATTGGCTGCAGCCAATTAGCTTTATCGCGAATGGAAAGGATAATATTTGCTCAGCGGGGCTGGGTCAGGTTGATCAAACAGCTGAAATCACGTGTTTTGCTTTGGTTTTTGTTTTTTTCAGAATTTGTTGGACGAATTATGGGCAATTAACCGAAAAAGACCGGGGCCAACGAGGCTTATTAAATGTAATTATTTTTATTTTATTTTCATCTTGCAGTAATGAATAATTATATATAAAAAAATAAATGTAATACATCTAAAACTTAAAAAAAAATACATTTAAAAGAAAACAAGTAAAAGGCAACGGTCAATTTAGTTAAGATGATTACTTGCATGGATGTAGCCTAATTAGGTATATTATATATATATATATATAAAATATACATTTTTTTTAGAATGAGCGAAATTAAAAAAGATATAATATTAATAATTACTATTATTGCTTGTATGACAATTATAGTAATAATTCAAGAACATTTGTGGAAAATAAGGCTACGAATTTTCTAAGTTACATCATTTAGAATAATCAAAAAAAGCCACAAGATTATCATAACCGATCACAAACTTTAAGAGCAACACACGGAAAACAGTTCGCGTCTCGTTTCCCTTCATTTTTTCCTAAAGTCTCGCCGCACATGCGCTCCTTTTCCGCCGAGTCGCTCCAGCAGAGAGAGACGCAGACAAACATTTCAAATCCATCACATTTTCAAGTGAAAAAGGGTCCGAGAAGCCGGACCGAGAAGCTCACCATGTGCGTCCCAGCTTTTTTTTTCTTTTTTTAAAAATTCTTCCTTCTCCCTCTGCTCCCGCGGCGCCTCCTGATCACCCAGAGCGGCGCAGTAAAGTGTGCGCACTTTACAGAAGAGGAGCGCACCGAGGAGAGGAGAGGGGGGCAACACGCCGCGCGTGTGTGTGTGTGTGGAGGGGGGGGAAGGAAGAGGAAAAGGAGGAGGAGAGCAGTTGGAAATTAACGGGATAAACTGGGAGGTGTCTCTCCTTACACCGACTGAGCCAAGAGTCTCCACCTCGAAACGCCGCGCCTCAAACTGGCGCACACGCAGGACCAAACGTCCATAAATCTGAACTCGGATCTGAATATGTGCGGAAGGCGTTTGAATTTTGCTCTGGACGTTGTGGAACAACACACACATGCTGCAGGCATTCCCCCCCCCCCGAAATTCGCGTTTCCTGCAAAGCTGTTTTCTGAGTTGCGTTTTGCAATAAAGCAGTTAACGATAGAGTTTATTAAATAAATAAAAATTAAAAAAATGCCTCAACGCAGCAGACGCAGTCATTGTCGATAAAGAACTTTTCTGTGGAGAAATGTTCAACATTTGCGAATAAACTTGATTTTTTTTAATAGTCACAAAAACTTAACATAAAATAAATGTAAGCTACTATCCAAGATTTTATTAGTAAACTTTAAACATTTGCAAGTATCTGCCTTACGTTCCACATATTTTTGCCTATTTATTGTTGAGAGTGGGAATATTTTTTCCTATATTAATTTATCAAAACCTTCTACCTCTCTGTGACCGTTTCTTCTTTCTAAATTTATCTGAATCAACTTCAGAATTTGTTTTTTTTCCCTCCAAATCAAACAATCCTACAGCGTCTTGCAAAAGTCCTCCTTGAGTTTCATTACATTTTCTTCTGATTCCTTTAGTAGTAATTGTTCCTTAAAGTATATATGCACACATATAGAAACACACATTTTGTGTCATGCATACAAACAGACTAAAGCTAATAAGGCAACAATAATGCTACTGTTAAGAAGAAACAAATACACTAAAGTAAATAAGGTGCTCTGTAACAAAACACAAAATCAATGTAATTATTGAGAAGTTTATGCATAAAACAGAATGTAGTGCATTCTTTTTTTGTATATTTAGCCCCTTTTATTCAGCTGCCCCCAATACGAATACAGATGCACGCCACACTTTGCAGATTTTTACGGTAGAAACTGCTGAAAAGCGTCTGTCAGTTCCTTCCACTTCAAAGCGCTCTGCTGGTCTGTCACATAAAATCCCAATAAACTACATGGAAGCTTGTGGTTGTAACATGAGAAAACGTGATGTGAACGCTTCTGCGAGGGGTTGCATTGTGTAAATATCAGAATGCGTCTATTAAGTTTGTTATATTAGTACAGTAAAAGTGCCAATTCAACACAAATGCTGCTATTATCCTGGGATCTTTGTGTTGAACTCTCAGGGTTTATGTTTTTATAGCTTTCCCCACTCCCCATCATTTTGGGATGTGGTGAAACAAAAAATCACCTTGAACATTTTTGATCAGCGTGAAAAAAAAAGGGTTATATTTTCCTCCCCTGGCAGCTTTTCCCTTTTAAAAAATGAAGAAAAAAAAAATAAAAATAAATAAATAAAAGCTGGGCTCTACGTTTCATTGCTTGTTATGCAATTTTATTTTACACCAAACACATCCTCTTTATTAGCACCTGGCGGGCAAATTCGGGACACACAGGAAACTCGAAGCACTGACCGAGCTGACGTCTCGCCCTCCGCTTTGCTCCAATTATCCTCCAGAGAGGCAAAACAAGAGAAAAAGAAAATGTTTGAAGCTAATTGGCTGGCCTGGATGGTTCTCAGATGTGAAGCAAAACTGATACAGATGGAAATATAAGAAGAGGAATTGAAGCGTGGGGGCAGGGGGGCTTGATTGGAGAGGAGGAAACTTTCCCAGAGAAGGACATAAAACTGATTGATGGCTTCCCTCGGGGAATGTTTCCCCAGGTGTGCCGTGTGTGTGTGTGTGTGTGTGTGTGTGTGTGTGTGTGTGTGTGCTTACAGTGCACTTAAGAAATGTTTGGACCAGGAACAAGAGCAATAAACTAAATTGAGGGGTGAAATAGCACGTTTTTGCGTCAATAATGCACTTTGGCAACATAAATACAGAGACACAAGAGACGTGAGGTGGCTGGCGGTGATGGTGGAGGTGGATTGGCACGGTTTGATAAAGGTTTTAATAAAGCACACGCTAATTGATAACAGAAGGCCTCCGTAAAAATGATGTAAGGTATTGTTTAACCGCTTTAATCAGATTCTTTGAGGTGGCTGCTGCTGACAGGTGCTTCGCGCTGCCAAACTTCACACCCGGAGGCTCTGAGGTGCTAAGAGACCAAAAAGTAATAATAAACAAAGTACCAGCGCGATGTAGTCATAAAACACAGCAATAAACCTCTGTGACAGAACGGGATTTCTTAACGCGGAGCAGGAACGGCGCTCTGTTGGTCGGAGGTTTGATGAACAACTGAATTCTTTCATCCAAACATAAGATAAGTCAACTCCTACGGACTGTGTAGTCGAGGTCCTGAACCGGCCTGAGAAACAAGCAATCCACGCCGCTGCTAACCCTTCCCAAACCAGCAGGGGGCCCTCAAGAGCAGCTGGAAATTCCTACAGAATCTATATAGCCTCCTAAGGGTCACCCTGCAACTTTGTCACATAGTAACCATTTTATGTGATGTTTTATGTGGTTTTATGCGATATAGCGGTGGTGTAAAACATGCGGCTCCGGAGCAGCAGGTGGCTCCGTCTTCCCTCGACAGAGGCTCAAAAAATCTAACCGGTTGAGCATGTTTTTAGTCGCTTCTCACCGTGTTCATGCGATATTTGGGTAATGACAAAAGCATTGCAAGAAATACAACTTTTTTGTAACTTTTTTTTGTATCTTTACATCACAAACCGCAAACATTTTTGAACATAATTTCCCACAAATAAACAATCTATAGAATAAGATGTAGTCATTCTTTTCTGTTCTTATAAAACTTAGATGTTTTATTTTAAAACTTCAAGCTACAAATAAAGTAGTGGTTCTCTGAAAATCTGAACATATTTCCCTAATAATTTCTCTTTTTTTCAAATAGGATGTAAATGCATCATGATGCGGTAATGCTTTTCGTCAACACGAAGAGCTTTACACAGTTCAACACGATACGGGGTGAGGTTTGTGTTCTGCTAAAACGTTTTATAAAAGTTTCACAAAGTGCTGTACGCTGATGAATCTCTTTTTGTATTTACACCTTTATTTTTAATCTAATAACCTAAATACTAAGGTAGTATTCATTGCATGTACTTATGAATCTGGCATAAAATAAGAAATCAAAGTAGTTTCAGTGCAAGTAAAATGTGAGTGAAATAAATAAGATCAGTGATGTGAACTCAATCAAGATCATTCCCCCTATGGAATCTGCTAGATCTTTTGAAATCAAATTGTTCACATTATGTCCAAATCAATCCATCCATGTTTATCACTGCAGGTGGATCCACATACTGCCAGAAAAAGGAAAAAAAAAAAAGCTATTTTCTAGCCATAATTTCACCTTTTAGTTTACCGTATGAGGGAGATGTCTCCAGGAAGCTCGTGCCTGAGCGCCTCTGGCTGCACAAATCCAACCTGGCACAGAGAGCAGAGTGGAAAATTATCCCCGTCTGTCATGAGTCCAAACACAATGTTTTGTTTCTCCAGAGTTTTCTTCGCTTTGTGTCTTTGGTGAGTGTTGACAGTTGGAGATGAAGAGCAGGCTGTTGATCTGCAAGGGGAGGAAGACTCGCAAAGAAAACTGATTTTCATCACAGTCAAAGCTCAGAGAGACAGGATTTAAAGCTGGGCCGCAGCTTCTGCTTATGTTGACATGGTTACACGCTGTCAAATATTTCCCCGTGTGGGATGTCCTGGTGGATAAAAAAAAAAAAAAATGCAGCTCATGGATCATCAAACTCCTCCCTGGTTTTCCCATTATTTCCTATCGCATCTTGTTCATCCATTTAGCAGAAGAAAGAAAAAAATAACGTACCAAAAATTAAGTAAGAGAGCAGCAGAGAATGGGTTGTGTTATTCTACAAGTACTACAGGTTAGATGATGTTGCAGTACAGCTGGCTGCGAGGGGAAGGTAGAAAAGTTACGGCTCCCCTGAGCCACTGCTTCAGCCATTCAGCCAGATAACAGCTTGTCAGGACTTATGGAGCAGAACTTTGTTCCTAGCGTATCCACGGCAACGGTGTTGGAGGACCTGCTGGTAGCTTCCATGCTCTTCTTATCAACACAAACAAAAACACCACTTTTAAACTCTTGTCACACATTCTGAATAAGATTTAAGTTTAAACTTTGACTGGACTATTCCTACATATATTGATCTGAATAATTCTGCTGCGTCTCTACCTGTTTGTTCAGAGCTGTTATCCTACTGGAATGGGAACCTCTTACTCAAATCTTTTGCAGCCAACATCTTTTCTTCCACTCTTCCCTTGTTCTCATTTCCATCCATCTTCCCATCGGTCTCTGCTAGAGCTGAACATATGGTAATCACCACGAGTGTTTGCAAAATCGCAATCCCAAATGATTGCCTAGATGCAATTTTTGGTAGCACATTACATTTCAAGTGTCAGGCCTTCGCTCTCTGCATATTGATTACATATTAGGCTAGTCGGAAGGACTAAGTACCTCTAATGCCCACACCAGATGCACATCTTGAGTAGCCGAGATGCTTAAACTCATGGAAACTGAATCATAATTTTAGTTGTGCATTAAAATGTGAGCTTATGCATCTTTAAAGTAGTGACTTTTTTGTTCTCACGCTCTCATAGTTGTCATAATGAACTATTATTCTGTGGCACGCACACACACACTCACACAATGAGAGATCAGCACATCAGTAACCTCGCAGACATTTTAAAGATCGTGATCAGATTGGACCCAGTTCAATACAAAGCAGCTGCAAAAGCCTGTAATATATTTTCATAATGCATGAGTTTCTGCGTCTACGTCTCATTTTGCAAACGGGGCTTATCTGTTTTCTTTATCTCCAAATGCTTTATGCTTCCTTTCACTCAGAAATATTCGAGCGAACAATTATCTAAACAAGGTGAATTACACAGCTGCACAGCTCAGATGCATGCAAATAATCCTAGAGCGGTCATAAATCCTGCTCCACACACCGACATCTTTTGCTTTTATTAAATTGTAGCAGAATTGCCAGACAGACATCTTCCAGATGGCAGGATTATTTCATGATTCAATTATTGTTCTTTGCGGAATCTAGTCCTGCCGTCTCGTCATCTCGCTCTGGAACAAACGTGATTGGACCCATAGTTGCTTCTCTGAGCAGCTCTGCAATAAAACGACATCTCGGTCATCGTCTGCTGTTCACATGACCTGCACACTGCGACCCAGGAGGAAACCCAGGACACTTAGACCATTTAGTCTGCCCTCTCTGTTGCTCCTCTGCGCCCTCTCGTGGATGAGATAAGCACTGCTGCCTTCGGCCGCCTCTCCGGGTCTGTCACAGCTCTCGCACGCATGATCGTCCCCATCTGCTGACCTCCACCTGAAAGCAAAACCAAATGTGTTTTGCATCGCATGGATTTTTTTAAGGATGACCGTCTTCCCAAACACTGACTGACCTCCCGGTTGTAAAAGCGCAGGCTTTTTTCTCTGGGTCCTTCTAAGAGAGGGAAACAGCTTCCAGGTAGCAAGTGATGTAAATCTGCAGGGAGGATAGTAGAATGTACATTTCTTTTTCTTTTTTTTATCTGTGCAGGAACTGAAATGATAAAGCATTGAAATTTGGCACTGACAGAGCGTGTCCGGTCCTGATGGAAGAGGAAAGGCTCCAGCTGAATGTGAAGGAGGTCGTCCCGGACCCGGGGCAGGAAGCGAGAGCCGGAGCCGCTCAGCTGGGAGTCTGTGAAACATCTGCAAACAACAGGCATGTCCTTATCAGATTTAACCCCTGCAGCCCGGACATAATGCGAAGCAGGAAGTGGATGGATCGGCCGTGGAGGAACCGCAGCAGACGTTAAAGATCGCAGCGCTCGCCCCTGGTGGTCTATGAAGGGGTATCTGGGCCGAGAGTCCACATCAGGAGTCAGGGTGGCCACGCAGCTGCCTGCATGCAGGCGGAGGGAGGAGGGTGATGATGATGATGATGGTGGTCTATCGAGGCCAGGATGTCCACCATCTCACTCATGAAGTAAAGAGGTGAGTTTCTCTCTCTGCTCCAGTCATCTGACAGTGGGAAAAAAAAAATCTAATTATTTTAGCTTCAACTGATATTTGCAGTCCAGATTAAACATGACTCAGTTGTCCTATCAGATTAGGTCTCCTTAATTTATACTGTTGGGAAAGCTCCGATTGATTCATATTTTACTTTCATATCTTTTGAATGTGATGGCGATCTTTAAGAATATTTTCTCCAGGTTTTCTAAGGACCTCTACCAATATACCCATTTAAATTGAGGCACTTTTTTAACATTGCAAAAACAATCTTCAGTGTATTTGTTTGGATTTTACTTGATAGAGCAACAAAATGTAGTGCACTGTTGTGAAAAGGGATAGAAACAAAATAATAAAAATATATTTTTGAATAAAAATCTGAAAAGTGTCATTCAACTCGCCGACACACTGCTTTGTAGAACCAAAGAGAAGAGAGAAGCATGATACTTCTAGCACTGTGTATAATTGCCTGGATATGAAGCTCTGATGAAGACCTAACGCAGGGAGGTGAGAGATGCTTCTTCATCATTCATTTGTTCAGTCGAGATGAGAAAAGTCTCAGTGGTCCTCAACCTTTTCATAATAAGCAGCAACGCGGTGAGCAGGGCTCCGCTGCTCACCACGTACCTCCTGTAGTTCCAAAAATCCAAAAATCAGACCACATAAATCTCAGAGAAACAAACAAAGAAAACTTCTCAGACTCAACAGGTGTCAGTTACAGTGTTAAATATTAAAAGTTATGATAAGACAAAGTCTGAACTAGTTTATGTTGTTCAGATGGGTTTCCTCTTGAGAAAGTCTGTTCTCTGCAAAAAGAATAACACTTGCAGGTTACATCTGGACAATGTCATTTAGGACAACCGAGACCAAAGTAGACACGTTCCGTCGTAACTCACTCATGTCAGTAATCCAAACAGAGCATATCAGCACAAACATACCATCTGTGAAGCAAAGTGGTGGGCGGCTGATGATTTGTAGTTTTGCAGCCTGTGGCCCTAAATGCCTCATAGTCGGAGTCAAGAATCTGCTCATCGGTATGCAGAATCCTCTAGATTTGAATGTGAAGCTGTCCGTCTGACAGGTGAAGCTGGGTAAAACTTGGGTTATGCACAAATGAAGCATTGTTGTAAAGAAGTACTTAGTGATTTTTTTTTTTACCTTAAAAAGTAGCTTTGTACATTTGTAGCATGCGAAAAACTGATTGTTACAAAGAATTCTTGATTGGCTTAAATAACAGAAATTCAGAATTGATACTTTTTTGGTTGGGTAGAAGCACTAAATAACACATCCTGTGCTTTCCTGGAACATCAAGGTTACTTTCTTGGAACACGGCATATTTTCCAGAACCTTCCAGGGTCTTTCCAGGAACTTTAATAGATCTGTTTTAAGAACTTTCATAAGTTCTAAAAAAGCACCTGTTAATTCCTGGACTGTTACTGCCAAAGTTTGGAAGATTACTTCTAAGTGCCTGGCAAGTTTTCAGAAACAACCTCGTACGTTCAGAAAAGTAACAGGTGCCAACACACGCAGGCAGCAGTAACAGTAATCCAGGGCGGGAATTTGATACCATCCCAGGCGGCCACCGTAGAATTAATGCAAGTCACCAGGACTGAATTAAATTTTAAATGAAGTTTACCATCAACGGCCGCTGTAAATGCTATTCTCACTGAGACTGCACCCTTACTAACACAATACTTGGGTGTTTGAGTTGCTGTTAGGAAAAGTTGGGAGAACTCAATCAGACACCAACTTCATCTGAACATGTTTGAGTCGAATGTCTCAAACATGTTGAGCTGATAAATGTGTCAAATCTGTCTTTTTTTTTTTTAGCAAAAAAATCAAAATTTTGGCATCCACGTGCTTTTTGTCTGTGCACAACCTGGTGTCTTTCTGCACTCCTGTGATAGACGTCCTCACAAAATTATTATTATTTTATTTAGTACGACCTGAATCAAATCTTTGGTCCCAGAACCTCTGCAATCGATGAGCTGAGCAGGCCAGCGGGAAATGTCCCAGTACTCCCGCTGGCCAATCAGGTATGCGTGGGAAAGTAAGCTCCAAGTTCAACTTCTAAGCTCGGAGAAAGTAATATGCATCACAAAAGCATCTGTTAAGTTCTGTAAAGTATTTGGGTGCAGCACCTTGTAACCTTCTGGAAAACAACCAGAATTTTTCATTAAAGAATTTGGTCAGTTCTGGAAGAGATATTTTGTAGTACTTCCGGAATGTTTTACAGAGTTGCGCAGCTAGGTATATAATTAGTCTTTAATGTATTTTTGAGACATCTAAATTCCCCGTGGCGTAGCAAGAAGAAAAAAAAGCAGCTGGTCGAATAAAACATTGCAACATCAATAAATGTTTAGTGAGGCTAAATTAAACGTCCCTTAATGTTTCACCTTCTGTACCGACACAGCACAGGAACAGCAGCTCCCTCCGTCTTGAACGTCTCACCAGGTGAAGATCCAGGGAAGAAGAAGAACAGCAGCATGTTGCTGTTCAGCACCGCGCCGTCTGTAACCTGCAAAAAAAAAATAAATAAATAAAATAAACCCGAGAAGCAGTACCAGGACGAGAACCAGCAGGGGGCAGCAGGGAGCAGCTCCGATCCGATGCAGCTGGGGGTGGAAAAGTCTCACCGACCGTCGCTCTGCTCCCACACTCAGCCGGAGGAGCCCTGATGATGAACTCTCCATCTGCGGAGCGGCTGGCGGCGCAGCGATCCCGTCCAGAGCCAGATGGCCCGAGCCTCAGTCCGACAAGCTGCTCGGGGTGGTTGGGGTCCAACAGGTGAGAGGTCTCATCACTATCTCCATGCTGTCCTCCTGACAGCTCACCTCAAGAGCCTGAGAGCTGACCTCCGAAGCAGCCGGGTCAGATGTGAGGTAGAAAAACCGGTTCGGTTTGATTCGTGTAGCTCCGAGCTCTCAGAAAACAGACAGAGAAGATGAAATAAGCAGCAAGACGAGGCATTGTCTGGCTCTCTGATGGCGTCTGTCTGCAGGAGCCACACAGCTGAATCTGATTAGAAGCGATTACCGGAGCAGCACCTCTGACACCACCTTCCAATGATGAGTTTAAAGACAACAGCATAAGCAGTTTATGTTGTTAAAAAGGTTTATTTCAAATGTATAAAACTGTACATGGGGCAATATGAAGTAGAAATACTGTTCTGATGCAAATAATATATAAAGTGTCACGTTGCAACATGCAGATTATCCATCTGCAAACAGAATAACAGACTTCCTCTATGCATAATTTCTGCTTCCGTCCTCTGAGATGCAGCCGAGGTGTAGTGTTCACTTTCATCCAAAGGTTTTCCCCTCAAAGTTCTCCGGCATCGTGTGCCGTTCCCTCTTTATCTGCTCTCTTTTCTTCCTCGGCTCCTCCTTTAAGACCCACGTCGCCTTTCCACACCTCCTGAAGACATTCTGAGCAAAGGAAAGCACACGATTTAGGAGGAGCGTCGAGGTAAAATCTGTGAAATTTTAAATGCATGGTTTAGATAAGTTAGACTTTTGATTCAGATAAGTATTATTTAAAGCACTTTCTTAATGGCTTCCTATCACCGTGTGAGCATCAGAATTTTAAACAAGCAGGCCTGAAGCGTCTCTCCGTTTCTGTCCCACCTCGCTCTGACATCTTCAGGACGTGGTTCTCACAGAGGAAGTTCTCCAGCCTCCGGTCCTGATGGTGGAAGTACCAATCCTCCACCACGTCCTCGTACTGCTCCAGCATCGTCTCGCACTGATCGCACAAAACACACTTTGTTTAAAAAGAAAACATCGCTTTGACAATCGTTTACCTTTAGCCGCAGTCGGGAATGGGGGTGTTCTCCGCCTCACCTGTTTTTTCATATTTGTCACCTCCGCAGACGGCTCGTCCCAGAGCTCATATGGCATGCCCAGGTCTACTTTCACTCCTTTGTTGACCAGATTCTTCAGCGTCGTCATGGTCTGACTGGAGCCCTGCAGTCAACGTTAAAGACAAGACGATAAACCACATGCTTAAAAGCGAACACACATTTCTCAGTTTAGTGTTGGAAAAGGTAGAAAGCAATCCCAGCTTTCACGAAGCTTTGAAGAAAAGCATTCAGTCCACCGAGGCTTTCGCTACCTTGGCGTATCTGAGGCTGCCAGGCCTCTCGGCGTGAACGCTGTACTGCAGGATGCGCTCGCATATGTTGTCCACGGCCTCGGTCAGACGGGTTTCTCTAAAATAAAACATGAAAGATTAAATACTGACTTCTAACAAGCGCAGGCATAAAACTCTTTGCAGAACTTCAAACACAAACTCTCTACAAAGAAAACACTGGTATAATCTCAAGCAGGAAACACACAAGATGCAACAAAGCCAAATAAAAAAAAAACCAAGATGCCATCATGGACTTGAACCTGAATTTTTTTTTTTTTTACAACCATGTCAAATGTAATAATCAGCTTACTACAACTTTAAAAACATTACTTGAAGAAAGGGATCATTGTTAAAGTAGGGCAAGTGAAAAATATATATGGGCGGCTTGTCTAAGGTCACTGCTGATCTCTTTCCATCCTGGCATTGAGTTAAAACATAAGGATGTTACGAAAAATATGGCTTACGAGGTGTTGTATTTAATCTTCCTCCTCCTCTTGCCTGTGTCCAGCACCTCTCCAACCTCCAGAACCTCTTTAGAGCGACCAGTTTTCTCCAGAGCCTCCTCCAGCTCCATTGTTAGAAACTTACAAACTAGCACGAACAAACAACCCAATATTAATTACTGACTTGCGAAAAGAACAGAAAAGTTGCAACAAACACGACTCCAGAGTCTTTTTGTCGTCAAACCTTCGCATTTATTGGGCAGCCTCTCGTCTTCACTCCCAGCAGCAAAGCCGCAGACACAAACGACAGCCAGAATAAACGCTTTCATTCTGAATAAGTGCTTAAAATGGAGAGAATTCAAGTTTAGCGTCGCCTCAGTCACATCTGCATCGTTTACCTTCTCCCTGCGCATGCGCACTGCATCAAAGCAGACACGCATAGTCGATTGCTGGTGGCTCGATGGTAAAATAAAAGGAAAGCGGAAACACCGATTTGTTCAAATAAAATGCAAAAATTTACGTATCGAGGACAAATGGGTCTAGTAAAATGAGATATAAGAAAATTAAATAAAATGCAAACGTAAAATGACATATTTTTACTTGCATCTTGATGGTTTTATTATTTATGAAATGCATACCGAAAGACCTCATTTTTAATTATTTCTGTTCACCCTCACTGCGCAAGATGACTCTTAAAACTTGATTAACATTTGCTGCAGAAGCTCTGGGCAATCCAGTGAAATACTGGGAGAATATGCTTTAGTCAAATGAGCCCAAGCCCGAACTCTTTGGACATTGAACGCACCATCTTTGGAGAACGGGATGCATAAAAAGAACCCTCAGCACCTTCTAGATTTATTGTTTCATTTGTGTGGAAGAATGGGTCAAAATCCCACCTGAGAAATTTAATAACTAGTTTCTCAATACAGGAGAAGTTAACTATCAAAAAGGCTTTCCCAGAACAAATTTTATTTTATTTCCCTTTGTATATGTGCATTACTTTGGATGTAAATATAATGTCAATCACTTCTTTAGAAATGTTTAAACTTAGAAAAACACAGTTCTTATTTCACATCCTGTATTAATACATCAGTGTAAGAACAGATTAAAGTAGGAAAATTGCCTTATACCATCGGATCTGTTTGTGTTCAAATGTCTGTTTGATGTCTATTTATTGCAATTTTTAAAGCAGCTGTCCGCGTTCCCATTTTTCCCCTTGAAGTGTTTCTCAAAATACACCCAGCCTAAAATTAGATCCAGCTCCCTGGCCTAGTTTAGCTCCTTCAGAGCCGCTTGGTGTCCACAGCTTCAACATTGTAAATGTTGCGCCTAATCAATGTGATATTTGGCAGTGAAGCAGTTAAAGGAGAAGGTGTCAGCCTCTTGGTTTCTCAGGTGACATTCGCAGCACAATCAACAGCAACCGATCCTCCAGGAGTGAGTGAGGAAGAGGCAGGAAACCCTGACGGCACAAGGGGACCTGGAGTTACAAACCATGTTGAGATGAGGACTGAATGGGAGAGACATCACAAACGAGGACAAGAAGGAAGCGTAGGAACGACCACCTGACGGCACGCCGGAAGAAGCAGTAAGTGACGCTCAAACTCTTAGAAAACACCCTTGTTCATGCCGGAGCATAGAAGTTTACATGCAGATGTGTGAGGATAAAGCGTCAAAAACTGCATTACCAGTATATTTTACTGGTGTGAGGTTATTCCCAGGTGTTACTGTGTATTATGTCACCCTGCATGGTGACCATCTGTCTATTGTCTGTGTGGAGGGGGATACAGTTACACAGAAACACAAACACTCAAGTATCGCCCTATAGCTGTTACGTAAACACAGACACATTTTAAGGATGTGAAACTGTGCTCTTCTTTTTTTTATTATTATATTGACCATAATTTAACTTCTTGTCTTGAGGCGTGAAAAATCCTGGACAGACTTAAGAAAGGAAAAAGCAATGTTACTCTTCTCTGCCTGTCTTATAATACAAAACATGATGGAAGCAATGAAAAACATTGTTTCCTAAAATTTCTATCATAGTGTTTATCTTCCCTAAGAACTCGGTGGAAAGTGTTAGGAAAACTAAATGCAGCGGTAAAACCCTTAATTATTCAAAAACAGCTGGCCCACAAGGTCAATACTGACATCAAGTTAAAATAAAAGCAGTCTGCACTGAAATAAACTCGGTAGTCTTCATGTTGTTGGGTGCAGGAGGAAGTTTTCCACCAAAAATTCTCAGGAAACCTTTGGTGGAAATAAGCTGAGACTTTCAAACCCAAGAACTCTGCATTGTGTAACTGTCGAGCATGGTGGTGGTGGCAGCTTTAGTGCTTTGGGGCAGTTACATCTGCCGGTGGTGTTGGTTCATCACACAGAGCAGGTAGAATAAGACGGACGGAGGGTCGGTGTTTCCTAAGGTGAACCACTGAGTGGAACCGTCTCATAAAACGATGAGGTTTTGTATTTTGATGGATCAGCGTTGGGTGAAAGTTTTTGATGAACAGCTTCTAAGTTTCAGACAAAATGGGAAAACATTTATCAGGTTGATTAAAATAAAGCTACTTTTCATGATTTCTAACAGACCACATGTGATATCGTAGGCGTGTCCAAGCTGTGAAAACGGGAGCAGACTACAATCTAAAAATCACGTGTGTCAAACTCGAGGCCCATGGGCCAAATGTGGCCCGTCGTAGCTTTATATGTGGCCCTACACACTCCAAATTACATGTATAAGTCCCTCCAGTTTTTCAACAAATCTGCAAAATGCACTCAAATTTCACACAAAATCTACAGATTCCTATTTTTTTTTTCTGATTTCTCAATACAGCGATTAATAAAAAGTTGGTATCACTTTATTTGAAGGGGTGTGAATAAGACTGACATGACACTGTCATAAACTCCTGTCATGAACATGAATAAGCCTTCATGAATATTTATGGCTGTTGTCATAAAGTGTCATTCGATAGATCATGACACTTTTAATACAAAGTTGACATTAATGAAAATGTCTTCATTATGACAACTTGACATTATTTAATGGAAACACAGAAATAATTGTCTTATAAGGATAACATTTTAAAATTCACTTGTTATGACATTCATGACAATTTATAATATTTTGCTTAATGTCACGTTGTCGTGACAACGACGTTGTCTTGGGTAATGTCACGTTGTCATAACGAACACATTTTCAATAATGTCAACTTTGTATTAAAAGTGTCACAATTTACCGAATGACGCTTTATGACAATAGTCATAAATATTCATGAAGACTTATCGATGTTCATGACATGTGTTTATGACAGTGTCATGTCAGTCTTATTCACCCCCTTCAAATAAAGTGTTACCAAAATGATTAACATCATCCATTAGCACAAAAGTCATAAAAAATTCCTTACAGATATTTCTAAATCAGCAAATCTGTGATTTTGATTGCTAAAAAAAAAAATCTAAAAAATCCCGGATGGACTGATCAGTGTGAAAAAAATGTTCAATATCATTTAATTGTAAGAAACACATACTTAATGCTCAAAAAGATTTTTATTGATATTTTAACAGTTTAGTTGGTTTTATCAGTACATTCTGGCACAACCGGCCCTTTAAGAACGTTGAGATTTTTGAGATGGCCCAAAATGAAAATGAGTCCAACTCTTATGATCTAAATAATTATCCGTTTTAACAATGTCTTTAAGATCTCACATCATTACAGGTGATGCGTCAAGTACTTTTTTTTTTTTTAAATCTCCGAGTCCTTTTTAGTATCGTCCTTCCACCTCGTTTCAGTCGTTTGATGTGAGAATGCTGGAAGCGGTGAATGACTTCAAGGGCCAGAGCTTCGACAAGCTGAGGCGCTCCTGCCTGCGTCGAGGGGCGCTCTTCAAAGACCCTCTGTTCCCTGCCACAAACCAATCCCTCTTCTACAAGAGGGCGCCCCCACCTGGACTGACCTGGAAGAGGCCGCGGGTGAGTTTGCTGTGGAGTAAAAGTGTCCGAGTACTAAAACCGAAAACAATCCTAGCAAATGCCTAGAAAGCCTAATTTATGAATCCATCACCTCTGGTCCCTGATCTAAATTGAGAAGGCAACTTCAGTGTGCCGCATTTCAACAAGTGGATTAATTAAAGCGCTTTCTATAATTAGAGAGGTTGTCAGGCAGTGGAACTCTATCCCCACGGGGAGGAGATGCAGATGGACAGCCATGTTGGTGTCAATAGTTGAGTTCAGAAAAAAGCAGCAGTGCATAAATAGACTGCTTGGTTGTTTCTAGAGCAGTGTTGTGATGGCTGATGCTTTCAGCCACTGCAGCTGAAAACTGCAGCTACACCAACCATGTAGATGTGAATAAAAAAACAGCCAACTTTGAGGTTTTATAATTCGCAGGTTTATTGGGGAAGCGGTTATGTTTTTATGGCGAGGAATGAATGTTTTATTACAGTAGTTGGGGTGTAGCTTGTGCTGTAAATGTTATGTTACCTTCTGGTCCTTTCTGGTTTGTGTTATGCTGTTTTGAAAAAGTCTGGAATCGTACTTTATGGTTTTGCGAGCCGGGCTGCGCGGTGGAGCAGTTGTTGGAGCTTGAATCCTGACCTTGAGTTTGGATGTTCTTCCTGCGGACACATAGGTACTCTCCACTTATTCTTGCTCCACGCATATGTCCAAAACCATGACTGTTTTGTCAATTGCTTTCTCTAAATTTCACTCGGATATGAGTGTGTGCTTGTGGTTGTTTGTCCTGGGTATCTCGATCCAGGGTGTACCTCTCCTCTCTCCGCCCCACCATGTCCAAACTGGTCGCCATGTCCTGTAGGATTCTCTGTCCTGCAGGACGTGACGGTCTTAAAGAAGGCAACTTGTTTCTTCAAGATGTTTTACTCCTCAACCAAAAGTCTCCTTCAGTTCTTCGGACTTCGAAGTTGTAGTCATAAAACAATCACTCCAACAGGGCCCTCGAGGCCAATTTATCCTCCCTTTGCGCACGTAAAGAGGTCCACCCAATTCCAACGTCATCAAGCATTACTGTCCTCATACTTTTATGACGTTTATTAAGTTAGCGTGGCCATTAGACACTATGTCAACAAGAAGGACGTTCGGACTCGGTTTGGAATCCAAAAGAAAGTTTCAGCTAATGGCAAGCGCGGAGTAAATCATGATAATGTACGTTCTCCGAGGAAGACATGAAGAATCACTGCAGTAGATGGAGGTGGTCTGTGTTGCCATTAAATACATCCACATGTGGATAGAGAAGTTCCCCCACATCCATCATTTGTCTGGAAAACATCAGGATTTGTTCTTTAAAAAAAGAAAACATCACGTTTTCTGTCCCCTTGAATGAATGGAAGCTAATCAGTGTGGACTGATGTGATTTTATTTGCTTTTTAACCTGATTTGGTCTTTGCTACGTCTCTCATCTGTCCAGCAAATTTGCAGAGACCCTCGTTTGTTTGTGGATGGTATCAGCACTCGCGACTTGCACCAAGGCAGTCTGGGTAACTGCTGGATGGTGGCAGCCATTTCCTGCCTGGCATCCGAGCCTTCACTGTGGAAGAAGGTTCTCCCTCC